ATCAGATTCATAAAATTCATAGTTTCAGCTTTAAAATGATGTATAGTTTGTTGAATATATATAAAGATGAAATTTGACCCCCAAAGGGGACAATAGCTTGGACCTGCCCTATAATTAAAATGACATGATATTTGTCTAGTGCATAATGAAATAACATCATCTGCTAAGTTAATAAATTGAGCATAATTACATGTTGGATTGTGTGGGTGTGGGTGTGCGGGGGATTTGTTTCAGGTGTGTGATGTACCTACAGTATATGGGTATTTTAGTTGATACAAAATGTACAGCAGATCACTTTTCCTACTCCTTTAGTGCCACAACAGCCTATACAAGTTGACAAATATGACAAAATCTATGTGAAAATCCTCGAAATAGCGGCCATATTGGATTTATGCAAATTAGGGACACTTCCACTACTTGGATTTTTTTGGACTTTTAGTATGTCATTTTGGGGACCTTACTAGAATGCATTGCAGTGAAAAATATTTTAATGCAATTTGTTTGACCTCAAAACACAATATTCCTAGCCTATTGATCTTATTTCCTGTAAATATTTATCAACATGACAATGTTGAATTACATACATGTTTTTAATTTAAAGATCATTCAATTTAGATACAGCTTTCTCATTTTAACTTAATAAAGGTGGATACTCGACACAAGACACCCCAACTCAGTGTGAGTATATGTGATCAAATAGTTACAGTGTGGAATCCTGTTATATTTTTGAAGCATTATGGGACTAAGAAATCTATGAGGAGCCATAGCTCAGTCAGTAGAGCGGTGGTCTCGTAATCCGGTGACCCGGGTTCGAAACCAAGTCCATGCGCTATTGCCCTTTGGTAAGGCATTAATCCTCATTACTAGGTCCCTCGGAGAGGACCTAAAGCCGTCGGCCGTCTGGTTGCTTACTTACAAGCATTTATACTTTCTTAGCAGTCAGGTAAAATAACCACCACCACCACTAATCTACCCAAGTACAAATAATGATAGCAATTATACCCTAATAATTTTAGACGTCAAGTCAAATATTAAAGGGCCAGGAGTAGAGCCAACATTTTCCAAAACACCAAAGCATACCTGTGTATATTAAAGATAAGGTTCATTGATTTTATAAACTAACTTTATTGTCATTATTGCAAAGGCGAAACTTTGATTGGACAAGGTTATCACAATTCAATGCTTGGAAACATTTGAAGTAATGATTATTATTAAATTCAGCCCCGGCCTAGCACCTGAAAAGTTCTCTGATTGCTGCTGAGATGTGTGACGTCACACTTTGGACATGATTTGCACAAGCAGACGATGTCCCATGACATCTCACACATTTTCAGTGCCTGTTTTGTCATCTTCTCTTCAGTTCTTTCTCTTACTTCACTTCTGTCAGACTTAATGTTTAATCTATTGCCTCACTCTATAAAACCCTGTGCATGGTACTATTTCCTTGAAAAATGCAGCGATAAAAGATACAGGAATCTGTCGCTTGTAAACAAAATGAGACGCCATTGCATTTCAGCTGCATACACCGCGGTATGTTCAGCGTTTCAAGAGGGAACAAATGCCGTTCATGCTTTTATTCCGAGGGTTTTTAAATTTGAAAGTGTGATTTTTCATTAACCCTTATCCTTTGTATTTACAAACAAAAGATTTTAGTTATCAGAATCAGTTTCATATCCCTTTTTGATGGTGGGACCATGGGAGGGGGCACAATTCACTTGTTTGATATTCAATTTAGATACAGCTGTCTCATTTGAACTTAAAGGTGGATACTCAGATTTTTTCCCGATTACCCCCTTATTTTCTCTATTCTTCCCTATTTTGCCCTATTTTTCCCCAAATTTTCTTACTCGAAAGGGGGGAATGATGTTAGATGCCATTTTTTCCCCGCGAATCCTCTTCTTTTTTTTTACTCAAGAGGGGCGTGGTTGAGCGGAAAACAAAAAACCTATTTTTTTGTTAGTGCTCACTATCACCCCTGCAGTGTGAAAAGCTGTTATATTTCTAATGATGGCACTTATACTTTAATAAATTTAGACTTTGAATATTAAAGGGACAGGAGTGAGGCCAACATTTCCTAAAGCATCAAAGCATACATGTGTATTATTAAAACCCTATGTTGACAAATAACATATCTAACGTTTCAAAATTTATTCATGAAATTGAGATTCCTTGCATAATTTGAATACTAAGACACTGCTAACGTTTAAATTTCACATATTGGACATATATGACATATTCATAATTCCTGCAAAGTTCTACAGAATTTGATATTGGCTGCAAAAGGGACATAGTATCTTTAACCATATCCATTTCTTCTTTACATTATGCAGCTTCAGTTACAGATGAGGTGCACCGTGTAAACAAGCTCAAAGAAGAAGAGACATTATATCGCACATTGATTTGTAAAATCAAGACTGATCCACCTGATTTTGATTTCTTTACAAAGTTTGAAAACATTTACACACATTTATTACTGCTTAGAAAAGAAATGGGAACAGAGATTAAAACAAAGCTTGATTATGATGAACTTCTTAGGTTAAATTCAGAAAATATCTCACCTTACATAAATTCATACTTTGGGGATGGCAATATGACAGGAGCAGCTTTAATAACGTTCATGGAAGATAACGACGTGATTAAAATGCACATGGCCCGGTTCCCTATCTACCTACACATCATCTGCATTAAGTGGAAGGAATCTACGAAAGAGAGGCAGGAATTGATTTGCAAATCAAAGACATTTTCACAGTTGTTCCATCAGATGATGACACATCTTAAAGAGCGTTATATATCAAACAGTTGCAACCCCCCTACAACAGAAAGCATCAACAAATTCCTTATAGAAATTGGTGAAATTGCCTTTTATGGACTTTTGGACAAGTGTTTAACATTCAATGAGAATGTTTTCAGCTCATGCAAAGAAGCCGTTGACGTATGTAGTAAAATAGGCATTCTTAATCGAGAGAAGCAATCTGTTCTACGAGCCGAAAGAGTAGGCACTAAGATTCAACCTGTAACATTTGATGTCTCCTTCCGTCATAAACTATTCCAAGAATACGTTGCTGCTTTATACCTGGCTGCACTATATGAATCTAATTATGCAGAATACACAACTTCGATTAAAAAAATATTGGAGGCCAATGTGCATGAATTTGAGTACTTTCTATATTTCGCTTCATCTCTGGGAAAAGGTGTAGGAATAGATATCATAAACAGACTGAATTGTGAAGATGATTTTCTTGTAGATATTGCATTTGAAGCCCATGAGGTAGACACTGGAAAAATAGTTGGACAGAGAATTTTTACAAAACAGAAGTCATTGGAAATTGATGGCAGAATGTCGTCACACACACTCTCTGGATATCTGTTCATCATGAAGCAACATGCCATGGTCTGTAATTTTAATTTATTATTTCCCTATTTTTCTAGAAATATGCCGTGAGAAAATAAACGTACTGTGCTGTACCACATATTTTGATGTCATAAGAGGCATTAAAGATAAACTCCAGTACTGGTAAAAAAAAAAAAAATAATTCTCACAGAATCAAACGAAACTTACACTGAATGTTCAAGATTACAAATAAATGACATGTATGTGCCAAACAATTTTGGAAGAAAATGTATACTGGCTGAGTAATGAGCATAGAAAGACAAGGAAATCAAGGTAGTACTAGCCCCGACACCATGTGTGTTGTCCCATATATAGCTTTCTATGTGAGTGCTTGTTACTTTACAAAGACTCGGTCAAATTTATTATGATTTTGATCCAGAACCTTGCAGTGCACACCAATACTTACATGCTACATGATCAACTGTTTCTGATCCTTTCCACACCTTTTCTTTCACAATGCAATCGCATTACCAGTACTAAAGTTTATCTTTAATCTAAGCTAAAGCCCCCCCCCCTCCCCCCATTACAAGCAACAACAAAAAAATGGCAAGAAAGCATGCATCAACCTTTTATTTTTCATTGACAGTCCCACTCATCAACACGTTGATATCTTATTCAAAGGTATAATATTACTATCATTATTATTCTACATTTTTATTCTGTTCGTATTCCTTTTTCAGAAAACTTTGATACTAAGCGGAAGAAAATTTGGCCCGACTGTATCTCGTGGCGTAGCAGACGCTCTTTCTTCACCAACTTCATTAACAACCTTAACACTTTCAAAAACGACATTCCATGACAACTTTTATAGGTTCCTGTTAGACCATGTTTCTAAATCAAAGGTAATGATGTATTAAAGGAGCGTAATGAATAAGAGAGACAAAATATTCTGTAAGTGTAAGTGTAAGTAACAGAAATGTTGGCAAAAAACTATGTAAGACTACATCCAATTCAATCTAAATTGTATTTGGAAAGATGATATAGATATAAATGTATTATTGGGGGGTAATTACTCTATTCTATTTGTTGATTTGGAAGTTATTTAAAACCCTCTGAATAGCAAACCAGGTATTTGCTTCAGCTTTTCAACATCCATGTATTCCTACCACAAGGTCACAGTGCTCATTATGTTTGCAAAAATAGCTTGTGATCATATTATCATTAGAATCAATAGACAGATTACCATCAAATTTAAGACATATATGTATCTTGCAGAGCCAATGACCTGATTAGAGTGTGGGGGTCAAAGGTCGTTGGGCTCATTATGTATGTATCTTGCAAAGTCAATGAACTGAATATATTTTGGGGTCATGAGGTCAAAGGTCATGGGCTCATTATGTATGCAAAAATAGCTTGTCAACACATTCTCATTAGAACTGATGGATGGATTTCTATCAAACTTAAGACATGTATGTTTCTTGCAAAGCCAATGAACTGATTAGATTTTAGGGTCATGAGGCCAAAGATCAAAGGGTCATACATGTATGAAAAATAGCTTGTAATCACGATATTCTGAGAACCTGTTAATGGATTACAATCAAACTTAAATTTGAAAAATTGCTCTGTTTTGGTTTGTAAAAATGCTCTATGGCGGAGGCATCATTTTCGACCGCGCGGTTTGCGCGCAGTCGAAGTTCCATCTTGTTTAATGATATTGGACATCTGTTTTGTTTGAGCTTGGAATGAAGGAAAGAATGAAGGAACTATCTTTATTTAAAACTCTAACTTCATTTAATAACTGACAGTTCAATTTCATTCATATTGTGTTCATTATCAAGACAAAGAAATCAGTTCTTTGATATGTCAATTTCTTTCGTTGAAAAAGTTATCCCCATTTTCTTTTCGGAAGTAAGAGTCATTGATTTATTGTTGTTTTCCTTACATTAATCAATGATGTAGACTGTCATTTACAATGGAAATAAACAGATTCCATCCATATTTTTGTTCATTGTGTGTATTTGTAATTTTTTTCTTACAAAGAGAGGAGAACCTATCGACGCAGTCCGGGAGCTCCATATAGATCATTGGTTCATCAATGGCCTACAGAAATTTGACACCACAATTGAAGCCCTATTCCCCAGGCTGATACAACTGACTTTTACCACTCTTCAAACTGTATCACTAGGAGTTGTTAAACGGTTGGCACATTCCAGCCTACTAAAGTTGTCTATTGAGCATGGTGGGGAAGAGGAAAAATTTGTTCCTCTCATTGGAGAACCTGCTTCACTGGGACAACTTTTCTCCGGTTCTTTTCCAATACTCCACTCTCTGACCTTCCGAGAGGTAGTAATGGGCAAAATACGCAGTGAAGCAATACTATGTAATCTAAAGAACCACCGGTATTTGAAATCAATAAGGTACGTTAATCAGGACCATTTTTGTAGAAATTGTCACTATTTCAAATGGTATTAATGATAATAATCCTTACTATAATTGGGCTAATCTTGTGTGTCCTTCCTTTTGTTTGACGGCACTTTTCTCTGTGACCGGCCGCCGAATCACCTTGGAATTTCGCCCATTCCCAGTTTTAAAACCTCCAGATTGCCATGAAGAGGTATTTTTTAGCCAATTTTGTCCATTTGGGGTTCTAAATTTAAAATACATAAGTTTTTATTTGCGGATCCAACAGGGAGTAGGAATGCATTGTAGGCACATTGTGCAATGAGGATCAGTGCACACACAGGGATTTGATCTTAACATGCAATGCACGCAGCTCCGTGCTCCACAAACAGTCACTACGGGTCGGCACGTCACGTGAGCGGGCAGCTCTTTATAAAAAAATCTCTGCATGGAGATTAGGCTTAATTTATAGTCCTTTTGATATTTGCTTGGGAATCACACGAGTGTATACATGTAGGTCTACATGCAATAGTTGTCCAGGCTTATCTTGGAGGAATTAAATTTCATGATCATGTTTTGACATGCTTTGCAAACGAAGCAACCAGTTTGAACGGCACAGTCCAAACGGCACAGCCCCGTCAGAACCAAATCCCTTTGATCATTCCCAGATCATTTCTTTGATGAAAAGTCAGTTTGTTACAGTTTAAATTTGAAGAAAATTAATTCAAAGACATTAAAGGTAGGCCTACTATCTCCCATTTGCAGGCCAAAAAATGAAAAGGTTAAATTTCAACGGCATTTGAAATATAATACTAATTTGGAACTTCCCTAAAAAAGGGGGCTTGAAAATGTCTGTAACTGGGAAAATAACGATTATTAGTTGTAAAATCGACTTAAAGCTAAAGACCAGTTATGGTCATGCAATTTTATTAAGAAAGAAACGTGGAATCGATCAGAAAAGGTTGATCATCTAGCATATAAGTATTGGTGTGTACTGAAAGGTTCTGGAATCATCAAAATAATAAGAAATTTGGCCCAGTCTTGGTATTAGAAAAATTTATATGGGACAACGCGACACGTGCGCGATATCTACCAGGTCCAAATAGATATAATGATTCGCCAAATATATCAATTAGTAGACGGTTTCTCTGCAAAATTTGTATCATCACGTACATGTACTAGCCAAAACATATTCTTTCACATGATTGGTAATAAGAGCTTCCATTTCATTTTTTGAGAGGGGGGCGTTTCCAAAACTGGTCTTTACCTTTAAGTGAAACCAATACAGTAAGTAATAGTCTTATTTTCAGACCATTTTACTGAATGGTTGTATGTTTTGTGCCGCGCAAAGATTCAATCAGTTTAATTTTAGCCATTACAAGAAGTGGATTATTGATCTAAACAAATGCTCATGAACTTTTACAGCTCATTTTTATGTATGTTATTACCAAAGAAGAAAAAAAAGCCAGTCAGTCACTCAATAGTGTCTGACAGTGAAGTCTAGCAAGTCAACGTGTTTCCTTGCATAATTTCAATATTAGGACACTGCTAACGTTTAAATTTCACAGATAGGACATACATGACATATTCATAATTCCTGCAAAGTTCTACAGAATTTGATGTTGGCTGCAAAAGGGAGATAATATCTTTAAGGTTGTGATTATGTTTCATCCAACCCCACCCGGCACACCCCATCATCATAAATTATTGGCCTACACCGACGGGTAATTCTGCTAGTAATTATAATAATGATCATAATACAAATAAAAAATAAGTAAATTAGTTAATTAAAAAAAATGATAGGCCTATATATGTTGAATGGTTTCTATTTCTGACAGCATCAGAATTATGCCAAGGGCAATTTTTAAAGCGTAAGAGTTTTCTGCTTCTCGCAGTGTTGTCAAATATTAAATTTGTTTCCATCAGAATTAATTCAAGGGTCAGTGCTAAAGTAAAACGGACTTAAAACGGGTATAAACTACATAATTTAATTCATCTTAATGATTAAACCTTTGCCACTGGTGTTCATCGGGTATAAACTACATAATTTAATTCATCTTAATGATTAAACCTTTGCCACTGGTGTTCATCGTAACATAGCCACCTGGAAAATTAATAATATATGGGATTTTTATTTCACATTTAATACTATATTCGTTTTTATAGTAATAATAAGGACTAAAAAATGGCCTATTACTCACTGGAAGATGGTGCAATATTGCTCTCATTTTGACATTGTTTTGAACAATATAAAACATGCGCTGTTTTTCTATGCAGAATCCTACTGTAGACATTGTATGGATTACGCATGTATAACATTATCATGGTAGACCCCATAGAAGGATACTGCAGCTCATTGAAAATGGACAGGTTAATTGTGCGCGGTTCAGTTGCTAAAGGTTAAACATTCAGCGATTCAAAATGTTTAAATATGTACTTTCCTTGAACATATATTTTATATAGCATCATTAGCTGTTTTACGGATGACGAACTGGACCTCCTGGCTGAACAAATAAGAACTGAGAAAGGGATGAAAATAACACTTCGACATAAAAAAGTAAATGTCTTCGTCATATTGACTATGGTGGTCCTAAAGAATTTTAAAAGTGAAAATATACTTGAAGAGAAGTTCACCCTGATATTCATTTGGTTTTGATAAGAGCAGGAAATTGAGAGAAACTAATTTGATAGTGAATGTTTGTGCAAAATCTGATAGAAAAATAATATAATTATTGGTTATTTTTAGAGGTTTAATCAATCAAACACAAATTAACAAGGATATGAAGGTTCTTGCGAGGTCCTTTCCCATTTGCCCTGTACTAAAAAAAAAAATTATGTAAAGAAATATGTTACACATGCCCCCTACATATTAATTGCACATATGTTTCTACACAAAGCCTGTATGAAAAGAAATTCTTTTATCGGCAACTAAGAAAATTGAAATTTATTATTTCTTGTACAGCACAAATGGAAGAGGATACCAGGAAGGACATCAAGTTTACACGTATCAAATATCAAGTATCATTCATGTCTGATTCTAAATACAAAATTTAAAGCATAAAATTTATTGTCATAAGCCAAATTAATTGGAAGTTGAAATATAAACTGTATTATTAGCATCTTGTGGAAACCCTATTAAACTTTGCCCTACTTCATTTAGCATATACAACATGTTCGGTTGTATTTGAGAATATTTCCAAATTATTGCCAATACCTAGTTCTTTGTGCTAACTATGCGGGTGATGTCACGGTATGCTCTTCAGGTTTTTTTTCTTCAAATAATAAACCAACATCTATTCTTTTCAACAGGCACAAAGGACATTATCTTTTGGCAGCACTGGACCATTAACAATAGATATGATCGATGCACTTTTCCATCGAACGTGTGTCACTCACTTGGCAGTGCTTGAGAATGGCGTAAAGATTGCAGATGAAGAATATTTTCCAGACCTTCATGGCCGAGGGGTGGATTCAAAGGTTAGTGAAGCAGCAAAGCAGCTTTCTTAAATTTTTACCCCCATCCCCCCCCCACCCCTCTCTCTCAGTTTGTATCTCTTTCCTATGACCATAATAGTTCCTTTTCTTGCTTTAATACGTTCTTCTCCCATTTCCTTCTATTCTCTCAATTTATTTGACTCACCTACTCTTTAAAGCATACAGATGAAGTGAAATGCTACACACGCACGTTGTTCGTGGACTTCTGTTCCGCATTCAACACTATTTAGCCCCATCGACTCATCGATAAGTTGATTGCCTTGAAGTTAAACCATCTTAAATACTTTGGATAACCGACTTAAGAATCGAATCCAGTGCGTCCGCGTACAGAATGTCATAAGTGAGCCAATATTGACCAATACAGGTTCACCTTAAGGTTGTGTCCTCTCTGCCATCCTCTTTGTCCTCTACACTAATGACTGCTGTTACCTTTCACAAAATGTTTCTATTCTTAAATATGCCGATGACACTGTTATTGTAGGTTTAATTAAGGAATGTGAAACTAACTATGTCAATTGTTTAAACTGGTTTAATAATTGGTGTAATAACAACTTTCAGGATGTCAACATGTCAGAAACAAAAGAAATGATATTCGACTTTAGACACAATAAACCAGTGGAACCGAGTAACTGTCCAGGAAGAAATTAGAATAAATGGTGAGGAAATTGAAATAGTACATACGTACACATACTTTGGTACTATAATTGACGATGGTCTGAAGTGGGGGATCAGTGTAAAGCAATTGGCAAGAAGGGACTGCAGCAGATGTATTTTCTTAGAAAATTGAAAACATTTTATGTTGATCACACTATCATGGTCTTGTTCTACAAATCAATAATTGAGAGTATCATGGCATTTGATTGTGTAGTCTGGTACACGAGTTGTCGAAAGGAAGACTTAACTATGTTGAATAGAATCATCAGACAGGCCGAGAAGATTATAGGACAAGAATTAAACCTTAGAGAACTATGTCGAGGTAGGATAGTTGAAAAAGCCAAATCCAAGAATGCGGTCCGGTAACAGGTTGAAATCAGCACGCTGTCGAACAAATCGGCTCTTAAACTCATTTGTACCTAGCTCCATACGAATACTAAATGAGGAAGGTATCATATAGGGCAATAAGACATAACAATACATTTCCATAACAATAATAGTAATATTATTAAAGATAATAATATAATAATGATGATGACATTAGTGACAATTTATAACAATAATAATAAGAAGAAGAAGAAGAAGAAGAAGAAGAAGAAGAAGAAGAAGATGCTTGTAGAATGTTATATATATGTTCATATATATGTGTATCGCAATACCATGTAACACAACAAATTTCCATTGTTAATAATAATAATGATAATAATAATGATAATAAGATTACATGTATATTGCAATGATAATAATGCAATACATAATGAATACTTGTAAAATCCTATCTTCATTCCACCTCACTTGATATACATATATATCTCCCATTCTCTGTTCTCTCTTTATAATTAGATGTCCTTTAAAGTGACTTGGTAACATTGTTGAAGGTTGATGAAAAAACTGCGTAAAGTTAAGCCAGTCAATATTGTTATTGTGATCCAAATCAGACATCTATAGCAAATGCATACATGACAATCTCAAAGAACTGAAAAAGCTTTGTCAAACCAGCTAGCACTGTGCTTGACAAAGTTTTTGATACACTGCAAACAGTGTGTTCCTGTGCCTGTGTGCAAAGTGCGCTGGTTCTCGTACGCATAATAAATGCGCAATGAAAATGACAAAATATGGCGCGGTGAATATGGTCTTAGATTTACTGATGTAAGTGGGTACCTGGCAGGAATTAATTCCTTGAAATGCTAGAGCGCCGCAGTGGCTGCCTTACAGATTGGACAGCCTTATTAACCTAACAACAAGTGACTAGATACAAATATGTGGTCTTTCTTTTTTGATATGCCTTTATCAATAATGAGACTACTTGTACCGTGGAAATCTGCAGGCTCACTTCCTTTAGATGCACCCTGCATGTAAATGGATAAGATTGCTCGTATTTTATGTTTAAAAAAAAAAATTTGTTTACACTTATATGTTACAACATAAGATTTGCTCTTTTAAATTACTGGCTCGCCTATTGTCTATAATTTCCAAATCATATCTTTGTGCTTATTTTTGTAATGCTTCAATGATATAAAGCCTATTATATACCTTACTTTAAGAATATTTCCTAATCCTTTCATCTGATTGGTTGAAAGTGAAGTCGTGTTTTTAACTATGCCCGCCAAAATGTTATCTTTGTCAAGTCCGGGAAAATATTATCTTTGTCAAGTCAAGGCAAGACCGACAATATTTATATTAAACAGTCCGTCCCAGAACAAAACCGAGAATTATCGATGGTATAAATAATAAATGACATATATTTGGAAAGCTTAGATCCTCCTCTTTCATTTGATGCAACTCATTTGATGCATATTTCACGCATGAGTGATCAGAAGCAATTTGAAGAGAGGAAAACAAAAAGTCATTTGGCGGACAGTATCTGAATTTCAAAGACAGAATCACATTTCTAGAAATGTCAATTTCTGCCCTTTCATATAACACCTCAATCAGGAAAAATGAGCCAGGTATAACAAAGTTCTGTTTAAAGTAATGCTTGCATTTCCATAATTTGATCAAACAAATGCGTTTTCAAAGTTTCGTTGACGATCAGCCATGCATCAAGTCTTTCGTCTTCTTTCTGTGACTAGTCTTTTAGGTGACAAAGTCAAGGTCAAATGTCATTTCAGGTCTGCAAACATAGACTTTGTTGTGGCATCAACATCAAGATTTTGAATTTCCAGCATAATTTCAAAAGAGTTTGTTCAAATTCCATGAAACTTGTACCCAAGGGCTATCAAGTATCACAAATTATATCACACAAAGGTCATTTTAGGTCAGTAGACTCAGTATCACTTGGATTATGTTTTTCACTACTTAATAAGAGAATTAATAAATCATTATTTGTTATTTGTTTATATCCATGAAAGTAATCAATCTTGGTACAATAATAAATAATTTTTTCTGATAATTCTTAGTCAATATTCACTTCAAGATGCTGGTTAAATTCAGAGGATTTCTGAGGGAGGCACAACATCTATCTTCAACTAAGGAGGGGGCAAAAAAATTGATCTTTCATCGAGGGGTTGAAATTGATCTGAAACTTATGGGGCAGAAATGTATATCTTATTGAGGTGGCGCAAATTTGATTTGAAACTTAGGGGTAGGAAGTTTATATGTTATTGAGGGGGCGCAAAATCGATCTGAAACTTAGGGGGCGCAAAATTTATATTTTATTGAGACGCGTTAATTGATCTGAAACTAAGGGGGTGGGCGCAAAAGTGATCTTAAACTTAGGATGCAGAAATATATATTTTATTGAAGGGGCGTAAATTATTCTGAAACTTAGGGGGGGGGGGCAAAATGTGTATTTTAGGTTGATCATGTAGCATACATGGTGTGCACTACAGCGTACAAGGTTCTGGAATCATTAAAATGATTAGAAATTAGGCCAATCCTTGGTTATAAAGTAGCAAGCACTGTACATAGAAAGAGGTATATATATATTTGTTTGTTTTTGTTTCACCCCCCCCCCCCCCCCTCTATTTAGGCATTTTTTCTTCTTTTTTCTTCTTTTTAGGTGGTCTGTCGTTTCGACAGATCACCTATTGTTTTCGTCAGAATTTTCTTTCTTTATTTATTTATTTATTCTTTATTTTTATTTCTCCCCCCTTTTTTGTTTACAGGATAACTCAAGATCGGTTCAATCAATTTCCTTCAATTTTGGCACAGTCATAGGTCATTGTCATGAGACGTGACAGTAACATTTTCAAGGTCATCAAATTTTCATGACGTCATCCAGGCGCCATTTTGTGTTTTTTTTTGGTACTTTTTACTCATGATCATATCTTCATAACGGAAAAGCATTTCTCATTCATATTTATCATGATTAAGGTCAATATCCGTCCGGTCAATTTAAGGTCAAAAAACGCGCGTGCATGCGTACGTCCGCGCGTCAGCTCGCGCGCAAAATTTTAAAATGCTCAAAATCATATCAAATTAATTTTGCATATGTTTCAGGCCATTTTAAGCATTTTGCAAAAAAACGCGCACACGCGCATGCGCGCGTGTTTTCGCGCGTACTGGTATTTTCCAACATAGAATCGCCAATTTTTCTCTGTAATCATATTTGGCACATTTTTTCAAGCATTTTGATACCTTGTTCACCTTTTTCTGACCATTAATAACGGAATGAGCGTCCGTTTAAGATCATTTCCGTGCATGCGAGCTCTTGTAATACATAGCATACATGGGCAAAAACATGCCTATACAAAATTCAATGTAGCGCTTTAGGATACAAGGTGAACCCAATTTTTTTTCCATATTTTGATAGAGTATGAATTGGAGATATGATTTCATGTCTCATTTGACCCTCAATTAACTCATGACGTCATCATAATGGCCTCCCAACTCAAAATTTCAATTTGCATATTATGACGTCAGCAGATTTCTGGAAAATTGACTGTATCTCCGTAAATATTGATCGACTTTCTTCCAAATTTTGATATGATCTAGCTGAGACAATTCTCTACGAATGCAGTCACCACAATATTTCATTTTGACAATGGCATCATGGCGTATTTTTGCAATTAAAGGAGGCATGTCAATTTTTGACATTTTGCGTGTATTCTCTATGGGACATGACTTTTTCTCAAAACTGGATTCTACATTCTCGTCTTTCGCGAGCAATATCTCCGCAGTTATTTCTTTGTTTACGCTGAGCTTTGAGTATGTTGTAGCTGAGACAATAAGCTATCACAAGTGTGTCCTTTATTTTTCGATCAGATGCCGGGATCATGCTTATATTTCACTTGCAAAGTGGGATTTGAAAATTCAATTTTCCGTTTACGTGTAATCTCTATGGGAAATGTTTTGGTATATCGGTAACGCACTTGACTTTCGACCTCGAGGTCCCTGGTTCGAGTCCGGGCGTCTCCAACAATTTTTTTTCTTCACTTTTTTTTCTTTTTGACCTTTCACTGTACCATCTCCTTTGAATATTAAAACACGTACAATCGCAAATAATGTAATAACAACCATATTTACTTTATTATTACCCTATTATCACTTGATCCATTATTCTTCATTCATCAATTCATATCTCAATACACCATTTTACTTTAACATCATTTTATTGGGTAATTGAATTGAAGATGAGCATGATCATAAGAATTGAAGACAGACCACCTAATTCGTCCCCATGACGAATTAAATTTCTAGTATTTTAATTGAATTTGTACAAAAACACAATTCAATTAAAATAAATTTGTGACCACTTTTTTGTTTACACGATTACTCAAAATTGAACAGTCCAATTTCTTTCAAATTTGACACAGTCATAGGTCATCATCTTAAGACGTGACAGGAACATTTTCAAGTTCATCAAAATATTGTGACGTCATCCAGGCGCCATTTTGTGAAGTGCTCTGAGAATCAACTCATGATCATATCTTCATAACCGTAAATCATTTCTCATTCATATTTATAACGATTAAGGTCAATATCCGTCCGGTCAACTTAAGGTCAATAAACGCGCGCGTACGCGTCCGTCCGTGCGTCGGTGCGCGCAAAAATAAAAAATGCTCATAATCACTTTTTGATCAAATTAGAGTACGTTTTAGGCCATTTCAAGCATTTCGAGAATTTTGCGTGCGCACACCTTTCCGCGCGCATAAATTTGCGCGCACGTTTTTGTTCGTAATGGTCGAACGCAACCTAGAATCGCCATTTTTTGTCTATCATAGTATTGCCCATTTTTTTCCAAACAATTTGATACCATGTTTATCTCTTTATGACCATTAATAACGAAATGAGCGCCCGTTCAAGGTAAATGTCTGTGCGTGCGAGTTCTTGTAATACATAGCATATAGGCAAAAACATGCCTATACGAAATACATTATAGCTCTTTAGGATGCAAGTTGACCCCACATTTTTTTGCGTGTCAAACTCGTGAAAAATAATCGAGCCAGTTGTAAATAACATGACGCACCAGCTGCTGGTGACAATGACAATGTATATTACGCGTATAACAACATGCGCACCATGCACGAACTCCATTGTGACGTAACAATCAGACCCTTGGCACACTGTGTGCAGTGTATCGAAAATTCGTCAAGCACTTATTATTATTATTATTATTTATTCGGCAAAGAAAAACATTACATATCAGTGTACACAATACAAAATAAGACATAATTATCAACCATTGGAACGCCAGGGACAGAAAAAGTTAACTAAATTACTGTGGCATAAAGCCTCCTGTCCCAATTCCAATGGATGATTTACATAAAACAGAAATAAGAAGTTTAGCCTTGGGTTACCTTCAAAGTTGAAAAGTAATTAGGGCCTATTAAACAATTATAAGTGATGTAATTAAATGCAAGATGCGGTATCATTATTTCAGATACATTATATAGTATTAATCAATTACAAACAAATGTATAGGCTAATTAACATTTGACACATTGAATAAGTGTAGGAGATGTTGCTGTATAGGGCAACATATTAAAATATAAAATAGCATATTAAATAGCATATTATAACCGTATCTCCCCTGACAGCAAGGAATAGATGATGCACAGTGCTTGTTTGACGATGTTTTTGCAACTTCTAATGCTAGGATATTCTGTGCAGTGTAGGCTACATAATTTATAAGATAGTAATTTATAATTTATAATTCATAAGATAGTATAAGGTAGTAAGAGTTTCTTGTTTGCTCTAGATGTCTGATGTGGTTAATATTAGTAATATTTACTGCCTAATTCAGGGCAATACGACTTGCCATATATCATCCTCACCTTCGGTTCGGGCGATATACGTCGTATTGCCCAGAAGGCAGTCAATATTACTTAATTATGCATCATCATGATAATTTCTCAATATTTCGTTCATCAGTTTAGTTCAGTTCATCAGTTCATCCGTTTAGCTCATCAATTCAGTTCATTTTACATCAGTTCAATTTATCAGTTCATCAGTTCATCAGTACTTCATTCATCGATTTATATCATAATACATCATTTTACATTAACATTATTTCATGGGGTAATTGAATTGAAGATGAGCATGATCATAAGAATTGAAGACAGACCACCTAATTCGTCCCCATGACAAATTAAATTTCTAGTATTTTAATTGAATTTGTACAAAAACACAATTCAATTAAAATAAATTTGTGACCACTTTTTTGTTTACACGATTACTCAAAATTGAGTCGTCCAATTTCTTTCAAATTTAATACAGTCATAGGTCATCATCTTAAGACGTGACAGGAACATTTTCAAGTTCATCAAAATATCGTGACGTCATCCAGGCGCCATTTTGTGAAATGCTCTGAGAATCAACTCATGATCATATCTTCATAACCGTAAATCATTTCTCATTCATATTTATAACGATTATGGTCAATATCCGTCCGGTCATCTTAAGGTCAATAAACGCATGCGTACGCGTCCGTCCGCGCGTCGGTGCGCGCAAAAATAAAAAATGCTCATAATCACTTTTTGATCAAATTAGAGTACGTTTTAGGCCATTTCAAGCATTTCGAGAATTTTGCGTGCGCACACCTTTCCGCGCGCATAAATTTGCGCGCACGTTTTTGTTCATAATGGTCGAACGCAACCTAGAATCGCCATTTTTTGTCTATCATAGTATTGCCCATTTTTTTCCAAACAATTTGATACCATGTTTATCTCTTTATGACCATTAATAACGAAATGAGCGCCCGTTCAAGGTAAATGTCTGTGCGTGCGAGTTCTTGTAATACATAGCATATAGGCAAAAACATGCCTATACGAAATACATTATAGCTCTTTAGGATGCAAGTTGACCCCACAATTTTTTGCGTGTCAAACTCGTGAGAAATAATTGAGCCAGTTGTAAATAACATCGCGCACCAGCTGCTGGTGACAATGACAATGTATATTACGCGTATAACAACATGCGCACCATGCACGAACTCCATTGTGACGTAACAATCAGACCCTTGGCACACTGTTTGCAGTGTATCGAAAATTCGTCAAGCACTTGATGCACAGTGCTTGTTTGATGATGTTTTTGCAACTTCTAATGCTAGGATATCCTGTGCAGTGTAGGCTACATAATTTATAAGATAGTAATTTATAATTTATAATTCATAAGATAGTGATTTATAATTTATAATTCATAAGATAGTATAAGATAGTAAGAGTTTCTTGTTTGCTCTAGATGTCTGATGTGGTTAATATTAGTAATATTTACTGCCTAATTCAGGGCAATACGACTTGCCATATATCATCCCCACCTTCGGTTCGGGCGATATACGTCGTATTGCCCAGAAGGCAGTCAATATTACTTAATTATGCATCATCATGATAATTTCTCAATATTTCGTTCATCAGTTTAGTTCAGTTCATCAGTTCATCCGTTTAGCTCATCAATTCAGTTCATTTTACATCAGTTAAATCTATCAGTTCATCAGTTCATCAGTACTTCATTCATCAATTTATATCTTAATACATCATTTTACATTAACATTATTTCATGGGGTAATTGAATTGAAGATGAGCATGATCATAAGAATTGAAGACAGACCACCTAATTCGTCCCCATGACGAATTAAATTTCTAGTTTCTTCTTTTTTTTATTTACCTTTTCAAAGAACAATATAATACTGTATTATACCTTATTACTGTTTTGGTGGCCGCACCAATAAAGCCCTTGGCTTTCCTAGCTGTCTCCACATTCATTTATATTTTTGTTGTTGTATTGTATTGTAAATGTTTCTCTTTAACTTGTACGCTATGTTTTGTATTTCATATGTTTGTTAGGATGTTTTTATGATGAATGAAATAAAGATCAATTCAATTCAATTCAAAACTTTGTATAGTCCTACAAGACTATATATGCTTATTGCAAAGCCAGACTTTGTTGATATTGCATCTGTCCTAACGTCACTCTTTTTCCAAATCCCCCATTTTAAGATATGACTTTCATTACAACTAAGTTTGTAAGCTTCAGAAAGTGGGAAGTGAAGAATCATAAAATCACAGAACGTAGATCTCTCCCTATCTTTCTATCCAATATCTATATTTGAGGTCACTGTAATGGAAAAGCGCAGGAGAAGAATTTTATTATCTCTAATTTCTATACAGATTGGAAAGCTCTGCATAGATGGCTGTAATCTGAAAGAAAATGATCGAATAGCATCACGTTACTTTGCCAAGTTTCTTTGTCTTCTGCCTATTCTCACCGACCTGACGATGAAGGACTCTTTCAAACGATGTCTACATGATGATTTCTACCGTGAGCTTGCTCTTCTTGCCTCTTCTTCAAAGGTAAGGTAACAAATTCGATAAAATAAACATACCATTGTGTGTGTATGTGACCCACGTTCAGCCTACAACAAAAAGCGCTGTCAACGATCCAATAAAAGGTGGGTAGGGGGTGTTGAACGCTCGTCTGAATCAAACTGAATCGCCTTCTCCCACAAAAAAGTGGGGAAAAGCTAAAAGTGAACATTTAAAATACACGTAGCCCATGGGGCGGTAGGGCGATGCCTCATCCAGAATCCCTCCCCCCCCCCCCCCCCCCCCCCCCAAAAAAAAAAAAAAAAAAAAAATTAAAAGGAGAAAAGAAAAAGGCATGGGAAAGAAAAGGGAGAATGATGGGAACAGAGCATAAGGTAGACAAACACACAGCCAGCTAGCTAGCTGTGTCCTGCATGTGACGTCACAAATTTTGATGCTCTATGGAGGACTGCTAAAAGCAGAAAATCTGGATCTCAATTTAACATTTTTGAGATATGATTACTGCGGGCCCCAAACATATTTTGAAGAGGGAAGTTGTTATATTTGATCAGTAAGCCTTCCCCTTTGCAATGATATGAATTTTGCATCAATTCAAAACACTTTTGATTCTTTGGGTGTCTCCTTTAACTATGGCAGGCAGTTCATGCCACTGTTTGCTCTAATACCAATATGATCTTTAGATAATATTTTTTCCTTCAAAAATGAATCATCAAAAAAAGTAAATTCTTTAGATTTGTGACCATGATTTGTATGTCCCTTGAGAGACCAATGCCAGTATGGTGAGAGCAAACAGTGGCATGAACGGCCTATCATAGTTAATTCCAACTTAAATTTGATCTTAGTCTTTGTGAAACACTCCCTAGGAGTACTGAAGAGATCTAAAGTTATAAGTTTTTTTCCCCTTCGGTACACCTCCCTCTCATCAACCAAACTGTCCAGTGTATGATAGGCTTTTGCAATGTAATGAAATTCCTTTCAACTCTGTACAATATGTTACTGCCAGAAGGAGCAGCAATTTCAGGGGGGGGGGGGGGTAATCTGGGGTTGAAGTCTGAAAATAATGCAGAAGAAGTTATAATTTCTACTCGATAAACTGCTTTAAGAATTATTTTAATGGAAAATCTTTTTGCTAAGTCGCTACCCTTCATCGCATAATGTACTTTAACTTGATATTACATTTTGCAATGTAATGAAATTCCTTTCAACTCTGTACAATATGTTACTGCCAGAAGGAGCAGCAATTTCAGGGGGGGGGGGGGGTAATCTGGGGTTGAAGTCTGAAAATAATGCAGAAGAAGTTATAATTTCTACTCGATAAACTGCTTTAAGAATTATTTTAATGGAAAATCTTTTTGCTAAGTCGCTACCCTTCATCGCATAATGTACTTTAACTTGATATTACAAAGTATATTTTAAATGGGATAAGAAGAACATGCTGTTGTGCCATTTAGACATGCTAGTTAATTATGAATAGTGACACTTTAAAAATTCAAAAAAATGGTTTAACATGTGTAATATGATGTAATGGGTACCAAAAGCCCCCAAAATGCACTGTGAAAAAATTGTATGTTATGTGATTTTGTCATGGGGGGGGGGGGGGGGAGGGGGGAGCAGTTTAAATATGTACTTTAAAACAATTACATGCTTAAATAGGTGATCAATGTGCTTTAATTAGCATTTCATAAATTCAAATAAACAAAACATACACAAAATGGCTACTCACAATATATTTCAAACAGATTCAGAATGTACGCTTGGAGGGCTGGTGTTTGGAAAACAATGATCACATGGCGTCCCGCAATCTCGCCAGATTTCTTTGCAATCTACCCTGTCTCACTGACTACACGATTAAGGATTCACATGAATCTCGTTTATGGTTTTCTGAAGACTTCTACCAGGAGATTGTTATTGAGGGTCCATCTTCAAAGGTATTAACACATGCAAAAACTGTATATTCATTTTGAAATATTTTATTTCTGTTCTCGCTTTAAACTGTACAAAATAGATTAGGTTTATTATCATTCGTTTATTCATTTATCCATCTATCTATTCTATATATTCATTCTACTTCTACTTCTACTTCTATGGTGATACTCATCAACGCCTGTTCAGCATCTAGATGAGGATAAAGCATAGAGTTGTATAATTATACAGCTCTATGCGGTACAGTTCCTGAAAAAGGAACTAAATTGTTTCAAGAGCCACCTTGAACTGCTCCAAAGAGGGCAGTTCAACGATGATTTGAGGTAGCTCGTCCCAGTCCTTAAGTGTCCTGGGGAAATAACTAAATTTGTAAGAGTCCATTGAAGAGCCTAGTCTCATATATCGTTGTTGTTGACTCCTCCTTGTAGTGCGCTGCCTCGGTTTGATGTACTCCGGTATTGGTATCGCAATTTTGTTATTTGCTATCTTGTAGAACATTGACAAACGTGCCCGTTTTCTTCTTTCTTCAAGTGTTGGGAGATTAAGTTGTTCTCGCATGGATGTTACACTGGCATCACGCTGGTAGTTTCCACAAATGAAACGAAGTGCACGTCTTTGGACCTTCTCGAGTTGGTCTATTTGATTCCGCTTATTGGGGTCCCATACTACCGAAGCATACTCTAGCTGGGATCGTACGAGAGAGATGTATGCCAGTTTTTTCACTTCTGTTGGACATTGTCTTCCGAGATTCCTCCGAATGAATCCAAGGGTCCTCGAGGCCTTGTTTGTGACCGCATCTACATGCGATTTCCAACTTAGACGCTCATGTAGCTCGATTCCAAGATATGCTTTGCTGGCCACACCTAGAAGATCATCTCCCCTCATAGTATAAGTGTGCATTATGGGATGCCTCTTTCTGTGAATTCGCATTGAGTAGCATTTTTTGGCGTTGAATTGCATTTGCCAACGATTAGCCCACTCCAAGAGTCTGTCCATATCTGATTGAAGTTTTACTGTGTCATCTACAGATGCTATTCTCCGCATCAAGAGGCAATCGTCCGCAAATAATTTGATGGTAGAATCGACCTCGGCACCAATATCATTTATGAATAAGAGGAACATAAGAGGACCTAGAACTGTGCCCTGAGGCACTCCTGATGTGACATGAACCGACGTTGAAGTCTCTCCATCAACAACCACTCGTTGAGTCCTGGTAGTTAACCAAGTCGATATCCAGCTTAGGGTCTCATCACGAATTCCGTAGTATTTCAGCTTACTTAAAAGCCGTTGATGAGCAACCTTGTCGAAGGCCTTGGAGAAGTCCAAAATCATTACATCTGTTTGATGGTTGTTATCTAAGGATCTGGATAGTTCTTCCACCGTAGTGATGAGTTGGGATTCAGTAGAATGCTTTTTGCGGAAACCATGTTGATACTTCACAAGTATATCATTTTCATCCAGATGTTCCATAATGGAGTGAAAGATCACATGTTCCATCAGTTTAGATGTGACACATGTTAGAGATATAGGTCTGTAATTCTCTGGTTTGCATTTATTTCCTTTTTATAAACAGGTACAATATTAGCAATCAACCAGTCCTGTGGTAATTTGCCTGTGTCATAGGATTGAATGAATATGACACGAAGTATTGTCTACATACAAAGTAGCACATTTTCACCAGTGTTGGGTTCCCATGAGGCCCCTTTTATTAACAACTATATTCATAACAATTATGATCATATAAGCTCATATTAAACAAGAACAAAATAATATGGAGAAGAGAATAGTAACATACTTCAGAATAATTGGTATGCCCGTTAAAAGAATTAATGCCGATTTGTCAAGAGAATACAGTTGGATATTTCTGATATCTTAATATTTATACATACAATAATCAGTCTAAAACTAGATGTAATGAATCATGATTTTCAGTCATTCTGAGAAGAGAAAGCCTCGTACAGTTTAAAAAGCTCTTTGGTAGAGGGTCCACTCTTGGTCTACCAAAATTGTTATATTGCCCTGCATGTTTACATAGAATATGTTACAAAATAATGATCGCTATGAAAAAAACAGAAACCATTAATTGTTCATTATACAGCATAGTATTTGGATGTAATACACAAACCCCACAAAAGACCAATATAAATTATTAATGGTGTCATCAATTTGACAATCATCCTTTTGTCGTCCATTTATTAAGTGTAGACATCAGTTCCATAGTACAATATAAATAATTGTGTTAGTGGTATTAGTCATTAATCAGGAGATAGGCTTGAAGACCTACCAATTATTCTAACATAGAGTCTAAAGGTCAGTGTGTGTGTGTGTTTGTGGATGTGTGTTTGTGCGTTTGTGAAGGAGAGAGAAGGGGGCGAGCTGGCAACAAAATACCACAGTTTAATTGTTTAAAAGAGTTTTGCCTGTGTATCTTACTCTCAGAATCATTTCTTTAACAAGAAGCTACACTTGGATGAAAGGTTAAAAGAGTTGAAGGGATTGGATCTTGAAGAACGAATTACATACATCAGACATCTTGTTCACCCCACGTTGTCAGAGAAAACTAGTACATGTAGAGCCAATCAACCTCCGTTGTTGCACCAAAGGTCCGTGCAGCAACAGATAGAATACCCATCATTCGTCACTCCACCAGATTTAGATGTTCCTTCAACCAGCGGAATAAATCCACAAAGTGGCAAAATACCTAAAGGTAATTATCATTAAGGTAATATAAGTTAGACCCCTAATTATATTCAGATTTTAACTCTATATACAAGGAGCAGAGGGTCCGATAGAATTATAGAATCCGGTGGAAATACACAATGAAAAGAAAGAAAAACCAGTAAATCATCTATTAGGGTGTAAAGTACATTCAAACCTGCTTTAGTGATCACCTGTCTACAGAGACCACATGTTTTGTTTCCCTTGAAAATGGTTTCTCATTGAAATATGTACTTAAGGAACCTGTCTTCAAAGACCACTTTTTGTGTTTCCCTTGGGCGGTCGCTATAGACAGGTTTGACTGTATCAGCCAAGGTAGAAAATACCTGTTAAAATTGAAGTCCACCCTGATGTTTAGTTGGTTTTAATAGATCAAACAAACACAAATTAGCAACTTTTTGACGTATCTTGCAAAGTCCTCTCCCATTTTCACTGTGATTTAAAACAAATCAGAATTGTATATTTTTCCCACAGCAAATATTCAATCATGCACCCAAATATGGTTTCATACAACTCCTGTATGTGACATACATGTAACTAAGGAAATGAAGTTATGACATTTTATACAGAGCAAATTGGAGGGGACCTCGCAAGATACCTTAAAGTGTTGCCAATTTGTGTTTCATTGATGATAACGTTATCCTTACTGTACTGAGCTATTTTGAGCACCTCACTACTGGGGGGGGGGGGGCAGAGGCCCCCCCCCCCTCCCCCCTATGATCTCGGCCGTCAAATGTCCGATGAACACGAAAATGTGCATGTTTGTAGACATTTACGTAAGGACCAAGATGGTATAATTAGTTTTGTCCTATCATGCAAATTTTTGTCGTTATAGCCAAATTAATTATGCAAAATACTCATTTCATGCATTTTATACATTTACAGAAAACTCTACATATTTGTCTTTAGACTTGTGAAGAATCTTGAACATGTATTGAATAAATGTTTCCTTCATCTCAAATTCATGAGTTTTCATTATTTTTATGATATTTGAAAATGCATAGGTTAATTTGCATAATTTATGAATACGCAAATTACGCATTCATGAATATCAAATCTGGAAATACACGGGTAACTAGAATCATAACAAAAATGGTCAGACTCCGCGTTTTGAATGTAGACACTCATTATTCATATGAAACTTCTTTTCTAACACAAAATAGTTATTTTTATGTAATTAATAATGATAACTTATGCAAATTTGATGCAATTTTCAAATATTTATTTTATTGTTTTTTTATTTCTTATTATATCTATTGTTTTATTTCTTATGTATTCTTTTGTTCTGAGAAACACAAATATATAAAAGCAATTTGATATCAATTCACATCTCCTACTTAAAGGGAAAGTTGAGTTCTGTTTTCAGACCGCAAATGCCTTCAAAGTGCATGGTTATTGCTCTTATTCTTATCTATGACATTTATAGTGCCCTTTTAAACCTAAAATTGCTATGAAGGTAATTTTAGATCCCAAAATGTGTGAAATTTAGCCAATACAATGATACCAATTCAGCTCCACTTAAAAAAAAAACATGGTGACCGTTAATTCATAATTTAATTAAAAATAACAATACATGAGCCGGCTAATCGTGGGTATTATAAGCAACATAAAAATGTCAACAAAAAAGCCAACATTGACATTGGCTGAAATACGACGTAAAAGGCGTTATTTCGTTTTTGTCAACGTTTTTTTCAAATTTTTCAAAATATCTAATATTTGTGATGGTACACAAGTATTAGAAATTGTTATATTTCAGCCGTCTCTGAATTGATTTTGATCAAACAAAGATGATTGTGTCATTTAAATATTATGTACTTTCAAATTTGACACTCAGTTTTTCATTATCTCACAAAAAAATTATTTTGTGTAGCACCCTCTGCAACAGAATTCAACTATCCCTTTAATAGGAAGAAATACATCTAAACCTGTATTCACATTTCTGCTTGTACATGTACATGAATATATGCAATTATAGCACTTTTTGATGACATGCGCATACAGATTGTTATGTAACACCTTACAGGTATATCCGATTTCGACGAAAATGGTATCAAAATGCGCGTGAAGAAAAAAGTCATGAAACGACAATTCAAAATTCCAAGAGGTTGTGCCGCAATCTCCGAAAATGTCAAGGGGGGGGGGCCTGGGAGGCCCCCCCCCCCCCCCCAGTACAGTAAGGGTTAGAATATCAATAATTTAATCACATTTTGCTGAATCATTCACATATTAGTTTCATTCCACAATTCATTCCACTCATCAGGCGCGGATCCACGAGCCCAATTCTTTCGGCCCGGCTATGGCAAGCCCTTTGTGTAAAAACTAGATAAACTCTGTTTTTCTCAGATAAACTCAGTTTATCAACAGATAAACAGAGTTTATCAGATAAACAGAGTTTATCAGTTGATAAACTCAGTTTATCAGAAAAACTCAGTTTATCAGTTGGTAAACTCAGTTTATCATTGATAAACACAGTTTTTCTGATAAACTGAGTTTATCTAGTTTTTACACAATGGGCTTGCCATAGCCGGGCCGAAAGAATTGGGCTCGTGGATCCGCGCCTGCCACTCATTCATGCTTGTCCCTAATCAAATGGTCTGAACTCCAATTACTTCAATACCCATTTGGTCCCAAAACATTTTGTCCGTATTTCAGTTATAGTTCAGTTGATTTTTTTCAATTGCGTCTTAACCGTACGGTCCAATCAAATATACGAATCAATGATGGCCTTTGCAATACCTAGATGATAGATCTACACCTCACTCATTAAAACAAATTATGAGATCAAGTTTTATATAATAGTCACTTAACTTCTAGTTATTTCTGTATTATGAGTAGAGTAGTCTAGTTGTCTAGAGTAGTTTTAATACCCTGTACAAGAACACCCGTCTAACATATCTGATTTTAGACCCTCAAAGAGGAAGTCCACCCTGATAATTAGCTGGTATCAATCAAAGGAGAGACACTAATAAGTGAATGATTCCCCTCCAATTTGCAACTTCATTTTTCTCTGGATAAACCATCCCCATATTTCCTACATGTACCTTTTCCTGAGCTTCCTATGCCTCTGTTTCAAGCATTAGTAATGTAAGACTCACACAAGACAAAAGGATTGATTGTTGACTTGAGCTCACTGCTATATTTTAATACATCTTTAACATGGCTCCCAAGATGGTGACATGCGGTCCATAAAACAATAACAAACAATCACAAGATAGTACATGAAGTAAGTAACCAATAGAAAGCCTAAGGAAAGATAGAGTGCCATGTGTCCATAGTGAGCTGGGTTAAATAGCCAAGAGATAGGAAGAGTGAGTGTGTGTGGTGCTATAGCAGGTCATGTGAATGAGGATGAATGAATAGGGACAGGACATTAGAAGCCAAGAGCTTAAAAGACACCAGACAATGAATGTAGGTCAGGAGTGTGCTGAAGCATAACAGAGTGAAAAGCTAAATGTAAAATAAACGATTATTTTTTTGGATCAGTAGAATTTAAACCTTACAGTATATTGGGGTTCTAGCCAATAACCAGGTACATGTAGGAAATATGGGGATGGTTTATCCATTGAAACAAATAAAGAAAAAACAAGTTTATAGAGTTGTGTTCATATAAAACAGGTTACCCCTAAGTATTGTTTAATAAAAAGTTGCTTCTGCAAGCAATATTATGAGGGTTACATACATGTTTTTTAATGCACAAATTTCCACAAAGAAAAAATGGGTGGAAGATGAAGCCCTCTTACTTTACATGACACATTTTCTTTTTTAGCAGGCTGTTAGAAATTTCAAATCATCTTTTGTTTCTCACATATGGGACTATTAGAGGAAGAGGGAATTAGAATAAGAGGACTTGCTAGGACTTGCTTGAAAAAAACACTGAGGTAGTTTCAGGGGCTTCGATCATTACAAGCATCTTTTGAAGTATGACATTAGACATGACATTATGACATTATGAGGCCTGGCTAGAATGCTCCCCAGGGAGTGGAGATTGTGCACACAGTGTGTGCGGGCAAGCACTGAATCTAATGACCGGTTGATAGTATATTTGTAAAGCGCTTAGAGACATTGTATTAAGCGCTATATAAAAGCTAAATATATTATTATTATTAGTCGTCATACATATTGGAATACACCTCGATAACCCTACGAGTATGTTGCTTGAGAAATGTAGTCTGTACTCAGTATTCTTTGTTTATTTTGATCACACACCAAGCAGCGTACTTAAGAATATATACCACACTAACCGTGCATCTGAGAGATGAAATGGCACCTACCTTATTTTAACTTTTATTTCATGTAAGATACGAGTGTTAGCCCTATAAGCTGCGCGTATCATGCGTATAACTGGAATGAGCACATGCGAGAATTAAGTGAAAGGTTGAGATAAAACGAACGATAAAATCTGAGATAAAAAGTGGTCTCAGAAAAGCAAAGATAAAATGAAATATTTTATGCTGAGAATACTGCCCGAGAACCATAGCGAACTAGTCTTCGTCACTTCAGTCACTTTTCATGCTCTATATGTAATACATACATTTATGGGACTACTGGAGGGGAGGGGGGGGGGGAGAGTAAATTTGAATCGATCCGCTAGTAACGCTCACAGAAAGTAACCCATAAACGAGATGGTGGAGGTTGAAAAGCAATGTCTAATCTATTGTAAAAAATATATTTCATTTAAAGTTATAATGTCTACGACCATAGCGGACAAGTCTTCTTGCAGATGGTCACTATAGTCACTTTCCACTCTCTAGGTGTAGTTCATAGGTGACTACCGTATTGTAATTCCACTTGTAGATGTTATCCTCATCATCGTTAATTTTCTTCTACTACATATATTATTGTTTTTGCTCATGTCAATGTTTTTGGTGTTTTTGTTGTCGTCATCATCATTATTTTCATTTATGCATTTATCCTTTTTTCTTTTTTTTCAACATTAGCACAACGTCCTTCAGTAGACCAAAGCCTTCAATCGAGGGGTAATGTAATAAATGCAGCAAATTTGAGTCGTGTGAGGGATAATACCCTCATAGATCAACAGAATAACATCAATTTTTATGGGTAAGTTTTTTTCGATTCGATGAGCATATCATGTTGGGCACTGTGCACAGCATGGTCATCCTCAATCAGAAAAAAATCCATGAAATTTAACCTAAACATGAGTTGTTAAACAATTCTGTTTGATAGACATTACTTGTTGTTTAATACCCTTCACCTCTTCTAAGTTTAGACCCTATTACCAATAATGAACTCTTTGCAGCCAACCATGGAAAAACATACCGGTACCCCAAACATACGATATCAAAAGAAGTGGAGCACAGTTCTCTACATTTCACATGGGGTTCATAAGGATTATAACTTTCTTTTTTTATTGTCCATTCACAATGGAAATTTGTGGTCTTTACATGGTTTATGGGTACTTAAATAAATTTATGCATTAGAATTTAGTAAAATTATTTTAACTTGACAGAAAACAACTACCAATAAACAAATAAACAAACATAGATATTTTCATAGTTATGCAAGACAGAATGTAATGGGTGGTACGCAAAGAATGTTAACGTTGTGAAATAGTAACAAATAATTACTGCATTCTTGGGAATGTTACAAATGCCTACAAACTTGTTTAACATTCCCAAGAACGAAGGAATTAAAATTTTAAAAAATCCTATTTCGCATGTCAAAAATGTGTTTCCTATGTGTTGTGTAGTCTATATCGTCTCTATTACCGGTACATATATTAACACTATATCTTGTCGGAACCCTGTTCGGCTGAACGTTTTTTAATATATATATATATATATATATGTACATACATGTATATCTCACAAAATACATATACTCAATAACAAACCATTCTTTATTATTGAAACATTTGAAACAAACTGAAACATTAATACCAGCCTGAAGATTAAACGTTTACTTAACCCTATATAACCAGGCTATTTTGAAACTGCATAGCCCAGGGGGGGGGGGGGGGGGGGGGGGGGGGGGGGGGGGGGGTTCTTCCCCCCCCCCCCCCCCCCCCCATGAGCTCGGCCGTGAAACGACCGATCGCCGCGAAAAATTTGCATACATGTCATTGTCAAGTGAAGTGTATAGAATACGATGGTAATTTCAATTTTTTTTAAATTCACTCATTTGCATATTTATGGTAATTTATGCAAATAAGGTCATAACATTCACATTTTTGCCCATAAATCAGACATTATTCATATTTAAGCATTCTTTTTCACTACATATATTTGTTAGACCATTTGGAATAATGATACAACACAAACAATTGAAAAACCAGGGTTATTCCTTATGTTATCTATTGTTTTGATAATTTCTTACGTATTTCTTTGTTTTTTTAACTCATTTATTTTATTGTTTTTGTTGTTTTATTTCATTTTCAACTATAATTCAACTATTTTGACCCCAAAATAAACACCTAAACTATAAACAAAACCAAATAACCAATTTTTATCTCTTTGAAAAATGAGATTTCCATATGTTTTGTACACAAATCACAAAAATGAGCGATTTTCGGGCTGACATGCAAAGACAAAAGGACACGTGACTTTGAAATGGTAGGTCCGATTTTCGAAAAATTTCTTTCAAAAGATGCACAAGACTCGAAAGAAAAAAGTCACAAAATTTCAGTGCAAGATTTTCTTGCGTTAAAAAATTATCGCGAAAAATGTCGAGGGGGGGGGGGCTTGAAACCCCCACCCCCCCCCCACCCCAGGCTAGATAGGGTTAAAGATACTACCGGTATGTCCCTTTTGCAGCCAACATTGAATTCTGTAGAACTTTGCAGGAATTATGAATATGTCATGTATGTCCTATCTGTGAAATTTAAACGTTAACAGTGTCCTAATATTCAAATTATGCAAGGAAACCCGTTTACTTGCTAGACTTCACTGTCAGTCACTATTGATTGACTAACTGGCTTGTTTTCCTCGTTGGTAACATACATAAAATGAGCTGTAAAGGGTACATGAGCATTTGTCTACATCAATAACCCACTTCTTGTTATGGCCAAAATTAAACTGATTGTATCTTTTCGCAGCACAAAATGTACGACCATTCAGTACAATGGTCTGAAAATCAGACTATTACTTACTGACTTGGTAGGACTTAAGTAGATTCGACAACTGATAGTCGTTATTTTCCCACTTAAAGACATTTTCAAGCCCCCTTTTTTTAAGGAAGTTCTAAATTAGTATTATCTTTCAAATGCTGTTGGAATTTAACTTTTTCATTTTTTTGGCCTGCAAATAGGACATAAATGCATACTTAACGGCAAACAAACCTTGCCTAATTTATTTTTACCCCTTAGTTTAGGTTTGTCTACTAACGTCGTGTCAATTCATTATTTTTTTTCAATACGTAGATGTTGCCATCGTTCCGAGGATGATCCCTCGACCAAGAGAGACAAGAACACCAACCGAAAGACTGACTCTAGCGACGAAGATGATAGAACAAGACCGAACAAGCAAAGCAAAAGCTATGGTTCCAAGGATGGCTGTCCAAGGAAGAGAAAGAAAAATACAAACCAACAGACTGACTCTAGCGACGAAGATGAAAGAACAAGCGGGGACAAACAAACAATGAGCGAAGTTTCCGAGGATGACAATATAGACGGGCGCCCAAGGAAGAGAAAGAAAAAGACAAACCGACAGACTGACTCTAGCAGCGAAGAGGGGACAATCAAACAATGAGCGATGGTTCCGAGGATGACAGTCTGGGTGAAGTACCAAGGAAGATAAGAAGGCAAACCGACGGACGCCATCTCCTTGATGGGTTTCAAATGCATACTTTGATGTGCGACATTTTATATTTGTTAAATCATAGGTTGAGTTCTGGGAAAGGCCTACAATATCTGAAATATCTGAACCAAATTTCAAACCACATCTTTGTGTAGTCCCATACATCCATACAGGCGGGGATCCAGGGGGGGGGGGCGAGCAGGCCTTGCCCCCCCCCCCCCCCCCGGCAAAAAGAGGGGGCCCGTCTCCATAATAAAGTAAAATTAAAGTGTTTTTACACTTACACTTGCGAGGGGCTCCTCCCCTTGACCCCCCGCTGGGCCTTTGCACCTTAACCCCACGCCAATTTACGCTACGCTCTACCTGATCATAAATACTTTAGCCTCCCCCACCTACTATGGAAAACGTTCAGCGGGGCGTGCATGTAAGAATGGTGCGATGCATATTTTCTTTCTGTCCCCCCCAACATTTTTGCTCATAACGCAAGTGCTGGTCACCATTACATACCAGTATTTGGCTCGCATAATTTCAAATTTGCCCCCCCCCCCTAAGAAATCCTGGATCAGCGCCTGCATCCATATATGAGAACAATCCATGTGGCTTTCAGCAAGACTAAGTCGAAAACGTTCTTATTAATATGATGATCCCAAAATGCAATAATGTGGGACATAACTTTTCCAGTTGATTTCCTTTGACGATTCAATCTTATGACAAGAACCCAACTTTATCCTTAAGCTTGTTGTAGACACATATCTTTATGTTAAAGAAAGAGAATGGAAAGAAATCTTTTTGATGTGTGAAATATCTATACAAGATATCATAAAGTGCAATAAACAGGTCTTTCAGTATGTCTATATATATGTATTTTTATATATAAAAATATGAAAGCGCATTTTAAACAAGTGCAATATGAATTAATTAGTGTGCTACCCAAATATAGAAGCCAAACATGCTTTGTGGCATATTATTAAACAGTTAGCTGTTGGCAACTTGGCAGGAGTTAATCTTAAACATTATATTGTGGACATAAATAATCGTTGAATGTGGTTACGTTGAATGTGGTTATTTCTAATCTGTATTCCGCTTTTTTGAACAAGTGAATGTAAAGTTGTTTTTACATTGCTCTGTAGATTGAGAAATTTGCGTTCAATAATGATGTTAACTTCATATTTTACCAGTTTAGCCTGTTTTCTCTCATCATATGTCACATGTCGATGCAATCTTTATAATTGTTTTATTATCATGTTTCATGTACAGCTTTTATTGGTGTTATTCTAGTATTATAAAATGGGTTCAAGAATGTAGCCAATGAGAAGCGTCAAAATGGATCACGTTTGTGTGCATTAATTTTAACCATAGGCGCACAGGAAGTGCATTTTGGTGATAACAACCGTGCAAAAAAGGTGCAACAAGAAGGCATAATGCACGCTGCATGTAATTCAATTTATGTTTACGAGAAGTCGCACCATGCACTGCACAGTCTGTTTACGAGGCCACTGCTGCCGTGATCGTCTGTGTGCACACGTTATTTCTTATGAACGTTGCAGGTTTACAGATTGTTGACCCACTTTATAAACGAATAATACACAGGTTTTCGTTCGTAACGTTATGGATATTCAGCGCTATTCGAGTATTCTTATTGCACCGTAGTGAATACCGTCATGCGCTGCATCGACCACAACGCACTCCCACCTGTGTATTATTTGTATATTAACGTTATTTTTGTTGTACATATATGTCGGAAGCACAGGGTCATTTTCATAAGTTGTATATTATGCCGTTGCCTAGCTTACTATTGCATGAGCATATTGTTTTCATTCATTTATTCCAGTCAGTATATGATGTATGATATGGTATCATTGCTTTATCACTGAGTAAATCAGTCTGCTTCCATTGTTGTATTTTGTTGATTTGATATTTGTTTACCAATACCATCTCTGATTCTCATTCTGATATTCTGACATTGCAAGTGCTTATCATTTTATCAAATACCAATTTTAATTAGATGATGGCCGGATATTCAATAAGGTAGTGGTTCTGTTCATTATAGTATTGACTGTATAGGCCTATCTACTGCAGTCTAGTCAAAAGTGGCTTGTCATTCTAGCATTCATTCATTAAAGTCAGTATTTGATGTAACATCATATGCTTATATGCATTGCTACAAGGTCATGAAATCTGCTTCCATTTTCATAATTTGTGATTTGATACTTTCAATCCAGGAACGTAGCAGCGTTTTCAATGTATTTCAACGAGGTGGTGATTCTGTTCTGTCCAGTTTGGGCGATATCTAATTATACAGTCCCATTAAAAGTGCCTTATCATTTTCACATACTTGTGACAATTTTTCTAGGCCCAGTAACAAAAAGCTTAGCAATTTGTCGTACAATTGATTATTGACTTTGTGATGGATTACACATATATAGTGATTAATGTAATCAATCACAAAATTTAATCATATGATCAGGTGCTAAGCTTTGTTTTACAGGCCCTGATCATAATGACTTGTTTGTTACACATGATGTATCTTGTATAGAAAGACTACATTTTGTTATCTTTTTCTGAAAGTGTATTTATTAAAGAAGTTATAACCGGTATACCTCCATGCTAAAAAGTCATAAAACATAAGTGTGTATTTCGTGATGGTAGACAGCTTTATCATCTATCATGCTTCACCTGTATAGAAAGACTACATTTTGTTATCTTTTTCTGAAAGTGTATTTATTAAAGAAGTTATAACCGGTATACCTCCATGCTAAAAAGTCATAAAACATAAGTGTGTATTTCGTGATGGTAGACAGCTTTATCATCTATCATGCTTCACCTGTATAGAAAGACTACATTTTGTTATCTTTTTCTGAAAGTGTATTTATTAAAGAAGTTATAACCGGTATACCTCCATGCTAAAAAGTCATAAAACATAAGTGTGTATTTCGTGATGGTAGACGGCTTTGTCATCTATCATGCTTCACCTGTATGGAAAGACTTCATTTTGTTCTCTTTTTCTGAAAGTGTATTCATTAAAGAAGTTATACATGAAGATTACCTGCCTATATAAATACCAATTTACTTGTCTCCCTTGCGTGGTCATTAATTCACATGTCACCTTACAACCTTTTGATAATTGATATTGTAATATGGAAATTAATTATCATAATATTCATATTTTGACATGTGATAACTATAGATTCCTGTCGTTTCCTAGTTGCTCCTTGTATATTTTTAATTGGCACCTTGATTGGGAAAGACCTGTTTCTCTATGAAGAACACAATTCTGATTTATTTTTTTGAGCCTGTAAATGTATTCATGACTCCCTGCTAAGTTAAATTAGGCATCTTAAAACATTGTTGGCGAGTATTTACATGATGGTAGACATTGTCATCGTCTATCAATACACAGTATTAACTTTTTTCTTTTGAAGACGCCATCATACCGGTAGTCAAACGGCGCTTATGATGGCGGTATCCTGTACTTATCCACAAATAGTTAGCATAATACTTTACATTCATAATACTGTGTTATAGAAATATAACTTCATTATTTTATGTAAATCACACTTTAACATTAAGTTATTATTGTATATGCATCATTGTATTATACCTTACATTTGCATTTGCAGAAATAAAACAAAATAAAACTCTTATCAAAAGTATGTTAGTCCTGGTTTATTATGGGCCACCCTGTATAGAGCAGCCAAAAGGGCCAGCAGGCTACCGCGTCAAAAGATTAGCATTTGATCGACTTGCTACACGTACATAGCAATAACTTAAACAAAAACAAGGGAAACGCTCTCGGCGGTCTCGCCTGCATTACGCAATCGATATGATGAAAACATTGAAGTTGGGACATTATTTATAGGCAGGGTGCCCATTAGCAGCCCCCCCCCCCCCAAAAAAAAAAAAAAAAAAAATTAAAAAAAAAAAAATTAATAATAATGAAGTCCTCAGAATATAATCAGCATTTTGAGGTGAATATTCAGAAGAATTGTTTACTATAATTTGTACCAAGATTGATAACTTTAATGGAATATGAACAAATAATAAAAATTGATTTATTCATTCTCATATTAAGTTGTGAAAACATAATCCAAGTCTACTGACCTAAAATGACCTTTGACCTGGAATTTGCGTCATATGATTTGTGATACTTTAAATGATAATCCTTGTGTACAAGTTTCATGGAATTTGAACAAACACTTTTGAAATTATGACAACTTATATCTAAGTTTGCAGACCTTAAATACTTCATAATTACCCCTATGTTCAAGTTTCATTGAATGAGAACTTGTACTAAAATTTCAAAAACTTAATCTCATGTTAAGTTTTTGTTGTTGACGCCGCTGTCACCGCAAAAGCGGCACCTATGTCTCGCTTTTTGCTACGCAGGCGAGACAATAAGACACTGGAAATACATTCACAATACAATATGCCTCGGGTCAATATAATTAATTCTATTGCAGCCTCCCGCATGTATTTATTGATAGTATTGTCATCTTGATCACAAAACACACATAATTGTGGCTGGACGCCTTTATAGTTGGAATGCGTGGTGAGTGCACTGTATAGAACATTTATCGAGGAACACCAGCACAATGTTTTGCAAAACATCTTGCAAATAGTGCAAATAATTATTTTAAAAATACAGTACATGCTTGTTGTTGTCATTATTGTAAAACATGTAGTACCACGTATATTAATGTCCATCAGACTAACTCATTAGGCCCAGGGACAGTTCCCTGTGAGTTTGAATAACAAATACAGAGATGGGAGTTGTTAAAGTTTTTAATGTAACATTAGGTACAAATAAATAAAATGAAATTAATACATATACATGTAGGGGGGAAAATAAATTACTTTGTTGTATTTTTACTGAAATACTTCATCAATTACAAATGGAAACTGGTGGTCCTTGCATTAACTCTTTACATGCCAATTAAAATAATCTCCCTGTGCCACATTGTATTGCACATGGCATAGCTATACCAAAGACTTAACTGTTTTCAGTGCAAGATTAATCTACACCAGTGTTCAAAGGGTTGTCATGGAGCTAATCAAGACCACAAATATTATTGCAAAGACATTGTCTCGTACAAACCAATCCTTCTGTCAATCAAAGCCTACTGTTTTGTGCAAAATTGCACGGAAGGCAAAGGAGCGACCATGCAGAGAGGCGAAGAAGCAATTATAGTGTTAAGCCTATGGTAATTCAAGAATTTAGTAGCCAATGGGTCAAATGGAGGAACAGAACAGCTGGACAGTGCAGGTATTGACAGAGATGTTCACTCCCTTTAAAGGCCCACTGCACTACTTGTAGCTACTTACGCCCTCTATATAACAAACAATGCCTAATCGGTGACCATTGGTCCCCCATGATCCTCTTTTTCTTATGTTATTTGAGAGCTGAGTTGATGAGATAACCACCTGTCCAGTGACCTTGCAGTGTGGTCTAATCCTTCCTTTACACTAGTAATGACGGGCTTAAAAGGCTCATTCATATATAACATGGCAAAACCGGGATGGTTTTTTTTATGACGTAACATGTAATACCCTTCACCATTCTGTATCTTATATCACATAGCACACTTAATACGCCCAAATCCTTTGTTGCACGCAGTTGCCATTTATTTACACGTTTTAAAAAAAATACTGTGCACAGCTTTCTGTTTTTTACCAGCCATTTCTGAACAAGCCTTAAACATGAAGTTGAGTTCTGGTCATGCGATTGCATTTTGAAAGAAACGGTGTGGAACCGACCAGAAAAGGTTGATCATCTAGCATATAAGTATTTGTGTGTATTGCAAGGTTCTGGAATCATCAAAGTGATAAGAAATTTGGCCAAGTCTTGGTAAAGTTACAAACACTGTACACAGAAAGATGTATATGGGACTACACGAACACATGGCGTAAAAAGCCGGCCCCCGATATTTACGATGTTACATGCATATTTAGAATATGAAGGCATTTGAAGAGCCATGCTTTCCAGGGAACATGTCTTATCTGATGTTCTTCCACTCTTGCATAATAAGAATGAGTAATGCTCACAAATTATTTTTCACCTCTTCCCAGAACTCTACCTTCTCTTTAAATGTTCATTACATCTAATAAAGAATGAGTCATCAACACCCACTTTTCTCTATTCCCTGCTTAATATAAACCCATACAAACAATAAATATATATTTTCAGTTAATAAACCACAGGTCAAGCTACCATAAGATTAATCATGTTTTTCTCCATGTAAATGGTATATAAAACAAAAACAACCTTACTCATTACAAAAAGGAAATAAATATAAATGTGGACTTCTATAGTTATATCCTTTCAGGCTATTTTTTCGAACTAGATTTCTATAAAACGTTTTCAATAGTACTATTAAAGTAAGCCATATGATACAGTACATACATTTCATTTTACATTATTATCAGAATAGTGCTTTTTGTCTAAAAAGATATTTCCCAAAGACTTCATATTGAAACATGTGGCATAAACAGTTTGATAATTATGTGAATTATATTATATATCACTATCTTCCCTTGTTCAATTTGCTACATGGTTCCCTGTAAAATAAAAAGTAGAACAATAATACTTTAAATGAATACTTTGCAAGTAATTTAAAATAATCTAAATTTTATCATTATACATGTACTAAATCTGATGTGAATCTTTAAACAAAATTGATTGAATTTCTTCAAAGAAAATACAATCTGAATAGGAAATTAGACTAACAGAAAGCACAACAAACAGAAAAGCAGACTTGTGAAAGTTTGAATTAGTTAAAGTTTAAAGTTCAGACAAATTATAAAGTACTAATTTAATTTTGCAAGACATTAATCTAAATTTGCCACACTTCAAACTTGGGTACGTGGTAGAAATTAATTCCTGAACAATTTATATGTAAAATTAAATAACCTTTCTGTGCCACATTGTATTTATGACTGGACAGATATACCAAAGGCTTCAAGATTAGTTAACTGTTTCCGGTGCAAGAATAATCTATTCAGGTGCTAAAAGGGTTGTCATGGAGCTAATCAACACCGGAAATGTGTAATTTTGCAAAGCCATTGTGTTGCACAAAGCAATCCTTCCATCATTTGGTGCCTATTGTTTTGAGCAACTTGCACGTGTGGCAAACGAGGGACCATGCAGAATGGTAAAGAAAGCAAATGAAGTGTTAAAATGCTTATTAAAGCTCTGTAGTGGCAGCCATGATGAAGCCAGGGTATCAACTAATGGAGCACCAGGAGTAGCAATGTGTCAGATATGCGCACTATACAAGAACCCACAATTATTATTATTATATGTGTATACTTAAACCTGATGTAATTAACAATGTTTAATTATATTCAATTATGTTAGAATATTTTCGTTCTCTGTAACTTCTCATGTACTTTCTTATGTTTAATGTATTTACCTTGTTAGGTGCCTTGAGCATCTCTTGGGGTGGATACGTGTGCATTATAAATGTTGTCGTTACTATTATTATTATTATTATTATTAAACATCTTTGAATTGTCCTATTCAAATGATGCCTTGTGTGGACAAGAAAAACTACATAGTGAGCATTAATCATACAAGGATATTACACAATGCACAAAGATATAAATATATTGCAACTTAGATACTATCATTATCAGGAACTTGGTTAAAACACTAGTCTGTGTGTAGCAGATGGGCCAATGATTCATCTAAATGTTTTGCATTGTACGTACAAGTTATTCAGGGAGAGCCTCTATAGATTTAAACATTAGTTCTTTCTTCACAATCAGGGGAAAATCACCTGCTTTGGTAAGCTTTCTCTTGCAGAGCTGAAAGCTTCTTCAGATCTCTGTTGCTGATGCAGTATAAGGATATGGGAGAATGGCAGTACATGTATTTAGAGAAAATTTACAAGAACAATTTCTGCATGTATATTAAAATCAGTTAATAGCCATCATGCATAGATATATGGAATTATGTAAAACACAACATGAGTCTTGGCATTATCATTGGCAAATAGACTGGTTTACTTTAAGGTAATACAAAGTTTTGGGAAATTTTGAAAATTGGGTGGATAGTGATTTTTTTTCAATTTTGATATATTTGGATGCCCCTGTGGATGTATTAAAAACGCTACAAAATTTAGCCCCTTAACCCTACGTTAACTGGGGGGGGGGGGGGGGTCAATTTGACCCCCCCCTGTAGAAATTTCGCGACTACTCCGAAACCGCGGCAGATATAAAATTTTCCTCTCATGACTTTTTACTTTCGAGTGTTACGCATCTTTTAAAACAATTTTTTTGAAAATCGGACCTACGGTTACAAGGTCGCGTGACCTTTTGTCTTTGCATGTCAGCCCGAAAATCGCTCATTTTCGTGATTTGTGTAAAAAACATATGTAAAAGTCATTTTTCCTAAAAATAGATAAAACATTGGTTATTCAGTCTTGTTTAAAGTTTAGATGTTTGTTTTGGGGTCAAAATAGTTGAATTGTAGTTATAAATGAAATAAAACAACAAAAACAAGAAAATACATAAGTTAAAAAAATAATGAAATACATAAGAAATTATAAAAACAAGAGATAACATAAGGAATAACCTGGCTCTTCCAATTTTTTGTGTTGTATTATTATTCCAAATGGTCTAATAAATATATGTAGTGAAAAAGAATACTTAAATATGAATAATCTATGATTTATGGGCCGAAATGTGAATTTTATGACCTTATTTGCATAAATTACCATAAATATGCAAATGAGTGAATTTTTCAAAAATTTGAAATTACCATAGTATTCTATACACTTCACTTGACATGCATGCAAATTTTCGCGGCGATCGGCATTGAAACGGCCGAGATCTTAGGGGGGGGTCAAATTGACCCCCCCCCCCCCCAGTAAAAACCAAGTTTCAAATAGCACCTACGGCCGTACAATGGTAGCTTCGACCATGAAAATCTCAGAATATGTAGTTGTGATATATAATTTCCAAACGGGAATAGCGAATCGGTCGATTTTAGTAAAGAAATATTGTTTAATAGCTTAATTAATATCTTGACCTTGAGAGGGAGCAATACAACATGAAGAGTTTATTATTTACAATTTCATAAGTTTTAATATGTTCATTTGAACCGAATTCATGACCCCATACCAAAACTTTGTATTACCTTTAAAGCTTATCTGCCATAGTTTACAGGAGGGATTAGAGCGCCCTGCAAGGTCACTGGACAGGTGGTTATCTCATCAACTCAGCTCTCAGTTAACATAAGAAAAAGAGGATCATGGGGGACCAATGGTCACCGATTAGGCATTGTTTGTTATATAGAGGGCGCAAGTAGCTACAAGTAGTGCAGTGGGCCTTTAAATATTCAACTTGATGGGTGTTTCATTCCCGGGGACCTAGAGACGAGTTATTCAATTAAATTGATGAAGAACTACCCTGTACACTACTTGGAATCTAGTCTGCATTCATCACTTGTTGCTATATTGGGTAAACCCCAGACAAGCTTCATGTAGTCAAGAACAACCTTTGTTTCGAAAGTATGCATACAATTTGAATATGTGAGTAAACCGGTCTATTGCACATATCCCACTTCATTTTTAACCTTCACTACATGCTTTGTTAACAGCAAATGTTGAAGTTTGCCTAAACAAGTGCACTTGGACATTCAATCCTCAATACTTCCTGTACATGCATGTAGATCTTGCTTCATTCATTACCTCTGCATGATTTCATGTCAGTCTTGCATGAAAAATTGTTGTCACTGGATGTGTCATAGAAGCAAGCTGAAAAAGTGTTCCTAAACGTGCTGCAAGAAATATTATTATTAAGACGTTTCCACATGATTCACCCCAGAAAATCCAGCAGGTTATCACCTCCTACTGTCTTCTGTTTCTGCTGGCTTGATGCAGCTGTGCTGGAAAATGGATCGAAGCCTGTACCCATTCCTACTCCTGTATGCTGTGCCCCTGGAGTCTGTTGCTGCTTCTGCATGGCCGACGCCTGCCACGACATTTGACCTAAGCCCTGACTTCCTCCACTATAATTACCCATCATGCCTGCCTGTCCGAATGCACCCTGTCCTTGACCAATATTTCCAAATGACCCCTGACCCATGCCGCCCTGCGACCCTTGACCCGCACCTCCAAATGACCCCTGACCCATGCTGCCCTGCGACCCTTGACCCGCACCTCCATATGCGGCCTGGCCCATGCTACCTGGTGGTCTTTGGACAAACCCTTGCGATGAGCTTTGTCCTGTGTGAGGGTTAGTGGCAGGTGCTGTGTTAGCTGAAGACATTTGACTGAGTGTTCTGTGAGATTTCTGGGACTGAGACGGAGCTAGGAGAGAATCAAAGGTGGACATGTCGAGGTTCTTTTTCGCTTGGGTTTTGTTCATTTGAGGAGGCATCTGCGACATGTTATTGACCGGCTGAGAGAGCAAGGAAGCATTCAAAACACCCATTCCTCCTGCTCCGAGGATACTCCCTGAAGACGTTGCACTTGGTGGTGGATGATACGGTGAACCATTCATGCTGCCGATTCCACTGGACATTAGACCACCACCACCACCACCACCACCACCACCACCACCTGTCCTCGTACAAACACTGTCCATTCCTGCAATCCTGCCCTTGATGCCACTTCCAGACTCCATGGCGAGTGATCCTGACAGGTCTTTGACAGCAGACCTTGAGGGCTGCTTGTTTGTCTCTACAGGCTGGATCACCTTCTGGGTCTTCAACCGCTGCTGAAACTCCTGCTCCTTCTGAAGACGTTGTTTCTCCTCCAGGCTCAGGGACACCTGTGAGGGGCGCACTGGGGCGGGCTCTGGTGCCTTGGTGGAGGATCCTGTGCTACTTGCTTGGCCCTTGGAGCTGGAAGAGGACTGCTTCTGACCAGACAAATTCTTCCCATTTTGACTGGTATGGCCGTCCAATCCAAACGTCTCAAACATCTGGTCCACCTGGGAAGTTAATGTGAGTAGAAATATTTTTAAACAATACAAATGCAAATGTGTCTCCTATATGCCTCCGCCCTAAATTCAGTAGGAAACGAATGACATTATTCACCATTATGTGCACCATCTCCCCTCCCTGGGGAGTATTCCTACCATATGGTCACCTAGTAAGGGCATAGACAATTACTAACACAAATGCTTTCGTCATCCTACCGGGTCCCCATTTCTCTATTGGGTATTGAGTGGCAAATGTATATTAATGCCTTGCCAAAGGAAATTAGTACCATGTCAGGGATCGAACCCATGACTTTTGAATTTCAAGTCAAGAATTTGACACTTCTACTTTGAGATATCGTGTTAAAAAGAAAGCGGGACGGACGGCTGAAGGACGAACAGAAGGACGGACAACCCAAAAGAAAAAACCTTTGGGACCACCTTTGAATCTTCGATGGATTGAGGCATAATTTTCTTTCTTCAGTTTTCAAGCGAAAGTCTATACTTTCACTAATGAAAAGTGAAAATCCTATACAATGTTTATTGTAACAAAATGGATTGAACATTTATTATTTAAAAAAAATTATTTAAAAAAAAATCTAGTCCATTTTCTCATGTACATATACAGAAGGTAGAGTTAACAACACATCTTTTAGTTTAGATGGTACACAAGAAAGTAAAATTTTCAATTGAAAATATTCATGTAGCACCATATCTATCATGAAATTAAAAAAAAAACTACTTATCATATCTCTTTTTCTTTCTCTCTTTCTCTCTCTCTCTCTCTCTCTCTTTTAACTCACCCCAGTCCCTCCAGTATTGTTGCTCTCCCCTCTTGATGACAATGGAACATCCTCATTCCCACCACTGGCTTGCAGCTTCTGGGCAAACTCAACAGATGTCCTGGGGGTCAGGATTACAATGACAGAAAACTCATGTGATGGTTTGACAGAAAAGTCAAGTGATGCCCCAATAGGGGTTGAGCAAGATAGTACCCTAGTCGTTTTTCACATGCGAAAAATATATTTTTGTTGCCATTTTAATTTTACGGTATTACCCAGAAAACTAGACTAAATTTCTTGTTATGTAAAATAGACAAAAAATATGTTTAGGCTAAGGACTTGGAACAAAAGATAGATGACAAATATATTGAGGGTTGATAATAGTAAAGAAATCAATTATTGATTCTTACTCAAATTTGGTCTGATTTTGGACCAAAATCAATGCCAATGTTCATTTTGGGGAAAAAAAATGACCAAAATGACCATATTGTTCAATTTGACCACTATTTCTGGCACCCAGACACTTTCATTTTGTAACATATAATAGGCCCATTGCTAATAATAACGATTAGAAAGACTGCCCCTGACCAAACGTTCGTGAGTAGGGTCAATAAGATTTATATTTTTGGAATAAGCGCAAACTTTTACGTCAGAGAAGCTCTTGAAACCTTCTCCACCTAAAATTCTGATTTAATCCCCTCCTTATCCTAATATTTTTGTTTACTTTTCCCCATAATGCATCACATAAAAACGACCTAACACAAGCTCCATAGATAGTAAGAGTGGGGAAAATGTGACATGACAAAGAAAAGTAGAAAATATGTTGAACATTGGAAGCACGGTTGAGTAATATAGAAACTAAAATAGGGATGAGTAGACAACGAAGATGCAAGAAAGAAGACAAATACATCAGCAAAGAGATAGAGAGGGAATGGAAAGATGTGAGATAGAGAGTAACTTCATAAAAAGATATTAGAAAGAAAATAAACAGTTACTTGAATAGAGAGAGAGAGAGAGAAATGGAGAGTGAGACAGAGAGAGAGAGAGAGAGAGAAAGGGAGAGACATAGAAAGCAAGAGAGAAAGAAAGGGAGAGACATAGAGAGCGAGAGATGGAGTGAGAGAGAGGGAGGGAGAGAGTGAGAGAGATAAAGAGAGAGAGGGGGGTACATAGAGAGCGTGCCAGAGAGGGTAAGTGAGAGAGAGAGAGAGACAGAGTGACGTACAGGCCACAAAGAAAAAAAACATACTTTTGTTCTTCTTGCAAAGCATTAAGTTGTTCCAGCTTGACTCTCTGTTCCTTCTCTACCAGTTTGATGAGACCACTTATCACTGACATGTACGCATTGAACTGTAACAGAAAGATATATATAAGAAATGGTAACAATCTACTCATCGCACCAACTTGTGTGGAAATGTTACTTGACAAAAAAAACACAAAACCATGAATATTCACATACCTCAATGATATTATTTAAACGTATATAAGATTGATTGATCGATCTGTATTGAAAAACAAGTCAGAAAAAAAAAATAATAATTTACTGGGTGGAAGCCACAAATATGTTTAAATAATTGAAATTTCTCCAAAGGAAGCATAACATATATAAAAAGATATCTCAATGATATTGTCATTGCTCAGTCACCTCAGAGATTTGGGGTAATGTGTGAGTGTTGTATTTATGTGGTGCGTACCTTACAGGTATGTACCAGTGTAGCTTCATGACCCTTTTCTATACAATTACACTTTAAGATTCTTTTCCTCTTTCCTTTTCAATTCGTTCTACCGCCCTTTTAGTATTTTTTTCTGTTTCTTCTTGTAAATGATTCATTCACCCGGCCTATCCACAACATAAACCATTTTTTTCATTTTTCATTTTTTTGTACATTGTTTTAGTTAATTGGTAACGGACAAAGGAATTATACCATGTACATAAAAAGGGTAACAATTCTGTGGAAAATTATGATGACAATAATAACAATAATAATGATAATAATAATAATAATAATAAGAATAATACCAGTTTCTTAAAAAGCGATTTTCCATTAGCTGACCAAAGCGCTTACAGTATTATTATTATCCCGGGGATTTGGATTCAATTAATATAGTGCGCATTCTCCACTCCCTGGGCAGCATTCTTGCTAGTCACCTATACACCAATGCGCACATGCTAATCCAACCGTGTTTGCATCCTACTGGGTACTCATGTAACACCTGGCTGGAGAGGAGCAATGCAGATAATGCCTTCGTCACATACATAAATGCCATGCCGGGGATTGAACCCACGACCTTTGCATTACCAGTCACATGATTAAACCACTTGAACTTTAACCTTTCCTAGGTCTTACCTGATGCAGGTTGAGGTTATTATCGATGGAGAGAGAGAAGAGGAAAGGAAGAACCTTCCAAGGTCTTACCTGATGCAGGTTGAGGTTATTATCAATGGAGAGAGGGAAGAGGAAAGGAAGAACCTTCCAAGGTCTTACCTGATGCAGGTTGAGGTTATTATCAATGGAGAGAGGGAAGAGGAAAGGAAGAACCTTCCAAGGTCTTACCTGATGCAGGTTGAGGTTATTATCAATGGAGAGAGGGAAGAGGAAAGGAAGAACCTTCCAAGGTCTTACCTGATGGAGGTTGAGGTTATTATCAATGGAGAGAGGGAAGAGGAAAGGAAGAACCTTCCAAGGTCTTACCTGATGCAGGTTGAGGTTATTATCAATGGAGAGAGGGAAGAGGAAAGGAAGAACCTTCCAAGGTCTTACCTGATGGAGGTTGAGGTTATTATCAATGGAGAGAGGGAAGAGGAAAGAAAGAACCTTTCCTAGGTCTTACCTGATGCAGGTTGAGGTTATTATCGATGGAGAGAGGGAAGAGGAAAGGAAGAACCTTGGTGGCTGCAATGTCTTTGGTGATACCCAGCTTCTTATGATTCATAGATATCTTGATAATACCTGGAAAATATATTTATTTTTAAAAAAGAGAAAAAGACAGCATGACAATAATATTCTGCAATTATAGAGAATTGTATACAATATGCCGTCTCTAAGTGCTTTACAGATATATTATTACCTCAGTCCTTGGATTCATTTATGCGCAAAAAAAAACTGCAAATTTCAATGAAGTCATACCCCCCCCCCCCCCCCCCCCCCCCCGACCCCTTTTCCTTCAAACAAACTTACCTGAAAAAAATTATTTAAAAAAGACAGAGTGCAATAATAATGTACTAAATCCATGTACCAAAGGCATGTGTCATTAATTTCTTTTTATATGGAACGGCTAAAACAGTTTTAAAAAACACCTTAGCTTCATACTTCTAATCAACTTTACAAGCAACCTAAACAAAACAGCAAATTTCAAAGAATACCCCACCCCCCTCTAACAAACTAACCTAACATGCACATAAGAAGAGCAGGTTCTTTAGATGATATCTGCAGGAGTAACACCCTTCCCCTCCCCCACGCAAAAAACAAAAACAAACCTTAACAAAATGCAGATTGCAATGGTTTTTCTACCCCCCCCCCCCCCCTCTTTCCTTTAAACAGACTTACCTAAGATGCCCATAAGAACAGCAGGTTCTCTGGATGGTATCTGCATGAGGAGCGGTAGTATTTCATCTAGAACAAACCATTTGTCCATGTGCTCAAGCATCTTTCCTAGACTCACCAGGCATCCTACACGAACCTAAGGATGAGAGAGGAATATGACTTGTATAAGTACCACGGAAGATAATACAAACCAGCAGTCCTGTCAATGCTTTGTGTAATTGCCCTTTCTGAATGCACAACCAATTTTTCAACTGGAATTTAAAAGTTAAGTGTCAGTACCGGGTAATGCGATATTACTATAAGAAAATATTAACCTGCACTTGCTACTCTCCACACAGGTGATTAATGGGTACCTGCTAGGATGCGACCATCATTGTTGGTCAAACAGCTTGTGAGCGTCAAGTAACGCCTGGCTGGAATGCTCCCTATGGAGTGGAGAGTGTGCACACAGTGTGTGCGGGCAAGCACTGAATCCAGGGTAAAAGTATATCTGTAAAGCGCTTAGAGAATGTATTAAGCGCTATATAAGCGGAATATTATTATTATTAATAACTTACCGACAGGCGGGAGGTTTCCAAACAAATTTTCTTCAGTCTGGGGACAATGGAATGTTTGATGGAGTTGTACTCTATCATCCCGGCAAACGAAGGCAGAATGTTTAGGCACAGCTCCTTCAGAAAAAAAATGATAAGACATAATAAATGTCAGAATCAAATGAGGATAGCATAAATCAATACAATGCGATACTGTTGTGTATTGACAAATGGTGTTCCATAGTTTGCCGCTATTGCTGCTACTTTGTGCTAGCTGCGTGTTCCATGTGTATAATATGCTCTACCAATAAAAAATGAACATACCACTCAAACGATTGTGTAACTGTGGTTATTAATGAGTAGAACCCAACAGATACAATATTAGCACTTTTAACTGTACCATAGCGGTTTACAAAGTTATGATATAAATTACCGTTCATGTATATACCGGTACACGCTTCTTTTCTAGCCACTGCATTTCGCAAAGTTACCTTCTGTGGCACATAACACGTTTCAAGTTTCAAATTTCATTTCAATTCAAATCCATACAAAACACATAAGATACAGATTATATACAATATAGAAAACAGAGAACACACACAAAATGGAAATATGTCTACAAAAATACCGGAATTGTACAAAGTTAATCAGCAAAAGAAATGGATTGGGGAAATAGCAAATAAAACCATAAGGTTCTGTCGAGGCAGTCCCTGTTATTAAAAGATACAAACAAGTTCCAACAATTGCCTATAAAATATATAACAATAACAAAACAGTGTACAAAACATAGGAGACGTATTGACATGCAAATATTATTATTGATTTAAAAACAGATGAAGTATTTTATAATTTTAGATTGAAAAGAGTTAAAGAATGTAGTATCACAGATATCTCAAGGGAGAGAATTCCATATTTTGAGGCCAGTGTGTCTAAAAGTAAATAAAGAACTTGTTGATGGACATTTTTTTCAAAAAAATAATTATCAGGATTTCTAGTATATAATTAAAATAAATAGAGATGATTTCAAACTGACCTGTATCTGAGCCGAGGTCGACTCTAGAGCTCTGTAAACCATGGGTAGAACATGATTCTTGATGTCTTCAGACGGCGTCTTCGTCAGAAGGAGGTTCATTCGTTGCATGAAGATGAGTAAAATCTGAAAGGGGGGAGGTGGTGGGGTGGGAGGGGTAGATGAATCCATGCGCAATACTCATTACTATGTTATTATATCTGTGTAATTATTTTGTTCATTTGGACGCCTGAATCAACAAGCTAAAACAAGCTTTCTACAGGTGCTACCTTTCCTACTACCGGTACTCATTTTCACAGTTTGTTTAAATTAACTTAACATAATGCTCATGATTTGTATATTTTGAACTGTCTGTACTATATCACATGTTTATATTTTTTGTTTTAATGGAAATAAAGTCTTTTGAATTGAATTGAATGACAGGCTAAGACTCAAACTGGGATGACAGACTCAGCTTAGTTTCATAACATGCAAGTTTACACAGATTAGACAGGTGATATGTAGAACTTTATTGTTGTTGTCTTCCAACATTATCATCATCACCAATCTTGTCATCATCATTCTCCTCACCGTCATCGTCATAATCATCATCATGACCAACATCATCAGCAATATCGTCATTATAGTCATCATCAACATAATCTCATCTTCCTCCTCTTACACCTCCTCACCATCATCACCACCATACTTAATATTATCATTTAAACCGCCTAGAGGCATTACTCAATTTGCGGTATAGAAATGTCGTTATGATCATCATCATTACCACCATCATCATCACTGCCACCATCGTCATCATCATCATCATCATCATCATCATCACCATCACCACTATCATTATCATCACCATTATCATCACCATTATCATCACCATCATCATCTTCACCACCATCAACACTATCATTATCATCACCATCATCATCACCATCATCATCATCACCACCACCACCATTGTCATCATCATCACCATCAACACCACCATCATCATCTTCACCATCATCACCACTATCATTATCATCACCATCATCACCATCATCATCACCATCATCATCATCTTCACCACCATCAACACTATCATTATCATCAGCATTTCAAGCTTCATACGCTGTATCCCTCCTATATCATGTTAATAGTGAAAATAATATCCTATGTTCGCTACATTATAAATTGTAAATTATGTCACACAGATGGACATTATGTATGTTTAAAATATGTATGTTTGAAATATGATATAGAAATCAATAAATCAAATCAAATAAAATCAAACCATCATCATCATCACCCCCATCACCAACATACTCATTACCTGAACAGGTTCTTGCATCTTAAAGACGTTCTTGAGGCTTGGTAAGACAAGCTTGACATACTCCTGATCCGTGCACTGCTCTGCGATGAGAAGGACGTTGGGGAGCACGAAGGGCACCATGTCCGGGTTCATGAACTCCTTACACAAGCACGGTAGAACCCTCTGCTGTACAACTCTCTATGGAAAAGAAAATACACAGGGGTGATAGTGACACTAAAAAAAAGGGGGGGGGGTTTCCCTCAACCACGCCCCCCCCCCCCCCTTGTGTAAAAAAGAAAGAAAGAGGATTTGGGGGGAAAATGGCATCTAACAACATTCCCCCCCCCCCCCCCCTCTTGAGTAAGAAAAATTGGGAAAGAATAGGGGGAAATAGGGAGGAATAGAGAAAATAAGGGAAAAATTAGGATCAAATCGGGAAAAAAAAAGAAAAAAAAATTGGGAAGAAAAAAAAAATTGGGAAAAAATACTGCATTGTGTTGAAAAATAAACCTGCAGATAAGGAGTTTATATATTACCTTGGGCAGTTTGGAGATGACTTTAGGAAGACCTTTGAAGAATTGAGCTTTCTGTTGATTGTCTTGTTGAAACAACGAGTCTACATACTGCAGGGTCATAGCACCAACATCATCAAAGTATGGGATCTAAAGAGGGGATAAGAGAGAAGTTTTCTTATATTTCTAAATTTTTCAGTTGGTTTGTTTTACCCGACTGCTAAGAAAACATGTGTATGCTTGTAAGTAAGCAGCCAGTGGACCAAGGACTTTAAGTCCTCTCTGAAGGACTTGGTGAGGAGGATTAATGCCATACCAAAGGACACTAGAGCACATTGACTTGGTTTCGAACCTCCCAGTTACCACACCACTGCTCTACCACTGAGCTATCACAATTTATTTTTTACATCAATCAGTGTTCCCTCCTCAAAAAGGCAACAATTAATCCTACTTTCTACTCCTTCATAGTTTGAAGAAAAAAAAATTCATTGAATGAAACAATGTGAAAGAAAATTGCAAAATTTAACCCCCAAAGTGGCAAGTGCTACCCACAAATTGTGATTTTATATTTTACACGAGACTTTGATGATTACCGGTAGCTCCAATTAAATCAGTCTTATTCGAGAATGGCACAATATACTGCTGTGGAAATAAAGTCACTTTTTCTGTAATTTTGGCTTTTTCTGCTCCTCATCACCACCACTACCACCATATTGTCACAATCATCTTCATTACCACCACCATAAGGCTTAAAATAAAGATGTCGTATTGCCCTTTGCGACCAACCCCAAATTCTTGAAATCTACTGTCAGCTTATTAAAGTTGATACTCTAAGCAAATAAATGTCCCTTAATTTGTTACCTACGGCAAGTATATGTTATTTTTAAGTTTTTGAATTACTTAGTATATCACAAAAAAATTCTGTCTACTCGAAATCCTCAATTGAAATGTCTAAAATATCCGCCTCTCTTTGCATAGAAAATCAGTCACGACGCTGGTCTACTATTTATGACCTCACGTCCGGGAGAGAGTATATTCACGTACCCGGATGTTCCATAGCAAACATGTGCAGAGTGATACGATTTTCTGCATATTTTTGTTTCAAAGGCTGAAAAGTCTAATAAATCATAATTCTATGTACAATTCTTTACCTTCCCCTAGTACTTCATATTATTAATATCAATTCCCCTTTTAAAAATTATGACATATACATGCCAACGATGTGCTATTAGTCGATATTTTCACCATGTAATTTTTGTTTTGGTGTTGAAATCGGCCCAGGCACGGAGTGAACAGTAGCTGTCTACCCATGCACAGTTCATTACCATACACTACAGCGATCTCCCGATGGTTTCTTCTTCCTTTTTCCCATGTCTTTCGCCTTCCTTGGCCCTGAACATCCTTCATCTACCAATTCTGACACCGGTAGTCAAGAGCAAGTCTTTGTTAGTTGTTTTTTTAGCTGGCAACGTCGCTTTCATTCTCTTGCAATTGCCGATAAACATATAACTAGCGCACGTACGTTCCATATCACAAGCAAGCAGCGCCTAGAGCAGCGGCTTGGTCTTACCTCCCGATTCTGCTCGCTCCACGAACGTTCATGCCGAAGAGCCGCATCACTCGCCAAAATAGAGGAAGCGCGCTTGCATGATCTCGTTCAAGTTTGATATTTTACAACATAAAATGTTTAACTGGTACTGTATCCTTTTTTGAGGCAGTCACATCTATGATAAGTACTATCATAGTTCTAGACCTATTCGTTTTACAAAACTGCTCATGTACATCTGATGACAATAATAATGCATCCGCCTATTCATAAGTGCACGATTTAACTTTAATTCCTAAGCAGTAAACTCGTCTTAAATCTCTACCAATAGGTGAATATGAGAATACAAAAAGAAATCAGCGACTGGAAAATGTTGCTTCGTTATTCTTCATTCAAATGAAAACAGAAAATCCATCAAATATACTCCGTAACAACAACAAATCTAAGCTCTGACAGGATAGCATTTACGTAGGGATATCACTGTCATTCACCCTCACTGAGCCCATGACTCCCGTTCGTGACGTCACGGATAGAGGCCCGACTCTACGTGCACTTCCGGGTTTCAGACTTAGATATTTTGGTAGAGTTTACTCGAATAAATTCATTATTCTAAACTTGGTTTGTCGGGTGGACACCATTTGGTGTTATTATGGGGGTTAAAAGCTTTCTATTTATGTAATTATCTCAGTATTTGGGATTGTCTTAGAGGAGCAACTTTAAAAAAAAAATGTTAATGAATACAAAAATATGTATTAAAGCGAAAAAATGAGAAATATCAGCCCAAAGAGGGAGAAGAAAAAATGTTGAACAAAACAGGATTTCTGACCAACCGACCCATGTTTTGGCACCTAAAGGGCAATACAACATCTTTTTTTTAGGCCTAATCATTATCATCACCATCATTACCACCACCATAATCAGTTCACCACCACCATCACCACAGCCACAACCCGCATCCTAACTATCATCCAGCTCCCATCCTGCTAAGCATCGCCATGTTTCTCTCAGTATTTACCTTGCCAAGTTGATCAGCATCCGGTCTGATTGTAGGTGTGGTACTTAGTAACATCTTGACGTATTCCTTCAAACCATCGGGGAGACTGGATAATAACGATATACTCAGACTACGCAGCTGGAAAAGATATTATAAACATCACAAAATGCAATGATCAATGTGCTAATATTCACCTTCCAAAACAGCTCATCAGTTATCTCACTACAGTCAAAACCTGTCTACAGCAACCGCCCAAGGGAAACACAAAAAGTGGTCTTGTAGACAGGTTCCTTTAGTACATGTTTCAATGAGAAACCATTTTCAAGGGAAAACAAAAAGTAGACAGGTGGTCACTAAAGCAGGTTTGACTATATATAAAAATTAAATATTATTATTATTATTATTATTATTATTATTATTATTATTATTATTATTATTATTATATATGGCATTACTGTGTGTATCTCTCCAAAATCATTTTCTGTACAAGTATAAATTTACATAATTATGGGAAGAATATTAATCTGTTGAATGAAAAAACAACAATAAGAACCGCAATTTTTTTTCTTTTCTAACAATGTATCCTTTTCAAACTCAACACAAGGAAATCAATGACTTGGGTAACAGTACATTACACTGAAAATATCTCTGATTTGTACTAACTGAGAAAGGTAGTGCAATTATCAATACTGGCATTCACATAGAAAAGATTGCAGTATAAAAGCTTTTATTATACCCACAATTACCCATCTCCAGACCAAACATGATTATCAAACCCTAACTAGAATTCTAAACCAAGAGCTAAATCCTAAATGCAAACCTGATCATGATATCCTATATTTCATGAAATAAAGGTGAAGAGGTGTTGTGGTCTTGTGCATAAGTCGCCGGACTGTAGATCACAAGGTACGGGATTCAAACCCCAGACTGGCACTAACGAAGTGTTAAAGATTGAAAGAAAGATATTTACCTGTTCTGATTTCTGTTTAAAAGTGGACAGATTCTCGTTGCAATCGTGGAAGAGTTTGCCGGTGTTAATAACGGAGTACATCAGCATTCCAAGACTGAACAAGTCACTGGACATATCACAGCTTTGTGTTAGCAGGTATTCCGGAGCCAAGTAGTTCAGGTTGGGTTGAAGAACAGCCGAGACGTCATTCATAAGCTCTCGTAAAGGAAAAATAGCCTGGGAGTAAAAGAGGGCAAGAAAAGCATTGAGAGAGGCATTTAGCAAATTTGTTGCTTGTTTGTTGTTTTTTAATGCAAGCATAAACCAATTGTGAGGTAAGAGAAAGAAAGAAAGAAATAGAAAGTAATGTAGAAAGACAATAAGACAATCAGAAAATTACCAACAATGAGAAGACAATATACTACAGAGAAAGACAAAGGCAGAGGCAAAGGCAGAGAGACAGAGAGAAACCACATTGAGATGGGAAAGGTCATGTGACACTCCTGGAGTCATGTGACTTACTGGTTGATCAGGTGGTGATGAGGATGGAATGACAAAGTCGAATCCTGCTAGCTTCCAAGCTCCATTGCTGTTGAGGATGATGCTTGCTGGGGTGATATTACCATGGACCATATGCACATCGTTGTGTAGAAACTTCAAGGCGTCAGTTAACTGTTAAAAGCACACAAGCCAATCAAAGTCACCTTCTTGTTTTTCAATATCAATTCAATTCAATTCAATTTATATCGCAATATAATCAAAGTATATAGAGTAACAGTCAATTTTAACTATATTTACAAAGGTTATACGCGAGGCTTTCCATGAAGAATGCAGAAACCTGTGAAGTTGATCGCCCATAACAGAATGGATCATATATCTAGTGTGCAAAAATAAACTTAAGGGAAACACAAATTACGTCCAGGTTATATGTTTAAAAAACAATTTACAGGACAACACAAACTATACATAGAAAGACATATTACATAACATACTTTATTGAAACATAAAATTCACATACCAGTAAACACTACTTTTGAAGAAATTGGAAAATAATAAGGGTAAGATGGGTTGAAATAATCATTTCAAGATCATAATTTTGCACAACTTAAAATTGTGTTTTGATGTTTAAGGCATACATGTAGCTGTGGAAAGGTTATTAAGACATCAAATTGCACTACTCTCTGATGAAATGAAGAATATAATCACACAAAGAAATTAATGAAGTGCTTCTAACGCGACATTTATTATATTTCTTTTTTGTTCTCTCCATGAATCTATAGTACTATAGCTTCCGGCTACCGCTATAGCTAGATCAGCATTTTTCGTCGTTCCCAAATTTTGCACCGTTAAAAAGATTTTGATTTTTTTTTCAATTCCCAGGTAGGTACAGTGTAAGTCATATATTTTTACAATAGAAAATTCATTATCTTTGTAATTTTTAATTATATTGGGGGTGTAGTTTTTCCCTAAACATCCAGAGAGTTATAAAAATGCAAGTTTTGTTTGGTTCATGTATTTATGAGCTTGGAGCGTGCAGCAAAGTGCGTACCCATATATCGCCTTCTGCACAGACATCAAGCAGGCAGATTTAACAAACTGCTACTATTTCTAAACGGCTTTAAGCCAGCAAAACATATCTAAACCTACCTGTAGGAGTCCATATTTAATCTCGACTTCAAACAGCTTGTGTTCTCCAATGTACGGAGGGATGGGCGAAGGCATGTTGTCATGGCAACCTAATATGTTGGCTAGGCTTGCAAAGACAGGCTCTGTGGCAAATGCAAGGCTTTCTCTGTGAGTGTATGATGGCAAATAGACAGAAAATCATAAAACCGGTAAATCAACCAAAAAAAAGACAACTTAAAGATAAAGGTGAGCTCTGGTCATCCAATTATTTTTAAAGAAAAGATGTGGAAAGGATCAGAAAAAGTTGATCATGTAGCATGTAAGTATTGGTGTGTACTGCACAGTTCTGGAGTCATCAAAAGCATAATAAATTTGGCCCAGTCTTGGTAAAGTAACAATCACTGAACACAGAAAGATGTATATGGGACCACACAAATGGTGTCGGGGCTACTAACCTTGATTTCCTAATCTGTCTATGCTCATTACTCAACCAGTATACATTTTCTACCAAAATTGTTTGGCAAATGACATTTATTGTAATCTTGAACATTCAGTAAGTTTTGTTTGATTCTGTGAGAATTAATTTTTTTTTTTTTTACCAGAACTCATCTTTATCTATTCAGGTAAGCTCAAGTTTTTGAGGTTGATTTTATTTTTTACACATTCTAGCTGTACATAAATTATGATTTTAGGTGATTGGAATACTTTGACAAAACTATCTGCAATCACTTACCTTGTTTCTTCCAGTGGATGTTGAACAGTGAGCACACAGGGATGGCGTAGCCTTGTCAGCTGGGTGGAACCCTTCCGTAAGATCTCTAACAGTGGATCCCGATCTCGCTTGGCAAATCTTTCCAAGAGCTTCTTTTCAAATACAAATACACCAGCTTCCTGTGCGTGATTAGAAGTTGACAAAATTTGGTTTATGTTTTAGGGAGCATTTGTGAGACAAAGGAGGAGTTCATATTTGTCCAGTATCAATGGTTATGTTTTCGAAACCATTTGTTTATTTTTTATGGCTGTACTGACAAGTCATTAAAAATATCTGGCAAAAGAACTATTTGAGTGTAATGAATACGTTCAATTGGATTTTTTTCAATTTTCAATATCTGAAACTAAACAATGATACATTATTCTTTGCAAGGAGCCCTGCCAGTAGATGTTTTCAACTTAGTTTCATAAAAATGCTTCAAACAAAATTAATATTATGGCAAATTTGGTAACATTTTTCTTCTAAAAAGGTTCCCGATTTATTATTACATGCAATTTGGGAGACTGCCTCCAATGTCTGACACTTTTGTCAACAATTTTGGTAGCCTATTGTGCATAAATGGGGTAAATTCTGGGGATATTAAACATTGAAATGATCGCAGATTTGAAAAAGAAAAGGAAATAATTTATTTTTAAAAGAGCAAAATATTGCCTACCTGCTTGGTAGACCTCTTGACAGCATGATATATCTTCCACAGACAGCCCGGTCCTCCGCTCCCTACATGTCTGATGATCTCATACTCCCTCATCACAGGGTTCCCAATCAACCCTCCAACAGTACTCTTCAGTTTATTTAGCATCTCCATCGCGTCAATCAGCTTGTTTCATCCACCTAGTAATAATAGGGTGTCTGCTGGAGGCTGGCCAAATCTGCCAGCTGGTTTTTATGCCGTGTCGGAACCAAAAAGACACACCCCCAAATAAGAAGAAAATATTTTGAACACAAGCAATTTTCAAAGATCAGTTTTAGTTCTTGTAGTAGTACTAGTAGATCGGCATTTATATCTTAATCAGTAGGGACGCCGGTTCGAGAATGAGGATCGTCCACATAAACAAGGATATCCTCGTATACGCGGACAAAATGCATCCTAAAAAGAATCATCCTAGAGTCTAAAAAGAATCGTCCTCATTTTCACAGACGCTTTTTTTCTCTGGCACTCTGCAGGTTTCAGGTTCCTGTTCCGCATGCTGGCAATGCAAAAAACGAATTCCACCTAATAAAATACCCAAGTCTGTCCGCGTTTATGGGGACGATCCCTATTCTCTGACAAGCTAAATACGAATGTCTTTTCAATGCAATGCAATGATAATAATAATATTAATAACAATAAACATAGTACTAATGATAATAATAATGACATTTCTAACTACATTCATGACAACAACAAAAAGAGACTAGAGTCTAGATCTAAATCTAGACTCTATATTCATTCATTCGGTTGGCCTGCTTTTACAGACACGAATTGCAGTATGTGGGACAAGTGCAAATAATGGGCGCGTCACCCGCAAGAGTTTTCAGTATGAAAACGTTCAAGCACACGTACATACATGTCACCCCGCTCCAAATTTCTTACACCACTACTATTTACTCATTAAACATTTTTAAAGAGATACTCACAGACCAGAACAGACGGGATGTTGGCCAGCTGTGACGTGACGTAGACTATTCTGACTTTGGGTCATAGGCAATTAATCGGTTCATCATTATGCATCCGATATGAACCCGCTGCACTCTTCTACCAGGCTAAATCATGTACGAAATTCAAAAGGAAAATAATTTTGTCGAATTCATGCAGATATGTAGTTATTTTTTTTTTATGTGTTGATTATTGAATGAAAATAAAATTCGTTTCCATGGAATTTTTTAAGTATAATCATTTTAAATTATTAAAAATCCTTCAAAATGTAATAATTTATTATACAAGCGGCTGAATTGATTGAAGCTAGCGCTCATTCAAATTAAAATTTCAAAACGAACGTAAGGCGTGTGTGTTGTATGTTGAGGCAAAAGACCGTGGGGGGGGGGGGGGGGCTTTCTAAATAACTTGATGGGGAAGAGTAAATTATGATCTGGGACGGGAATCGGGAGGTGGGATTATCACCAAGTTCAGTCAGTTCAGTTTATTCAATTCCATCTTTAAAAGAACATTTGTACAAAGGTAAAAAAAACATGCAATTTCATACATTACATATAGACCTCTAGATCGACTCTATAGGCTACGTAAAATACGAACAGAATATAGGCACAGATGTATACAAAAAATGAAATAAGAGAATGTTTTGCCTGAACAGCTTCCTATCAAATTAATATAGTAAGAAAACAAGTAAAGTTTTAGAGTACGTACCATTCAGAAATTGCATAACAACCGGAACAAACCAATACACGATATAGGATGCAATATAAGTTGAGATTGCAAAGGAGAAATGTGAGGGGATCAATATAGGGAAGAGAAAGCTAGAGAGAAAGAGAGAGAGAGAGAGAGAGAGAGAGAGAGAGAGAGAGATGAAAAGTTGGATAAATACATTCAGTGAGTGTCATATCATATGCGCAATTAATTAGAAAATTTTGAGATTACGTTCAAAACTGTTGTAGACTGAAATTGGAGTTATCAAATAAGTTCCAAATTGCAGGTGCATGATGTCTGCAAGCATAATATGATGCAAAATTTGTATTAACAGTACACCATATCATGATGATATTTCTTTTTATTTATAACACTATAATTATGTATTCGCATGTTTGTTATAAAAATATTGGGTCAGTTTTTAGGAAGCAGATTTTTTTCATTCTTAAATATAATTCATATGGCACACATATATTCATTTAACTGGTAAAAATCCATTAAGTTGTTTAAAAAGCGGTCTTGAATGCGTTATATTTCCAAGATATAACACTCTGCCCAACAGGTTCTGTCTGCTATGCCCTATGATCGAAGGTCGGTCCCCAGACGTAAATAATCGTATCTGATTGAAACACGTCTGTAAAAACCAAATTACCCCCCCCCCCCCCCCCTCCCCTCGCCCGACCCATTCTGCTGCAAGAAACATCTATAACGATTTCAATGATAAAAACAAGTAGTAACTTCAGTTCATCCCTATATCCAGAAAAGTTGGTTGTGGATATTTTGCTGGAAATTTCTACAGAGCAGCTAGCCCAGGTGGTTCTACCGTACAGTATGTTTCGTTCATTCAGGACAGGTCTCCAGCGTCTTGGGAGCTTAGAATTAGAGGTAACAGAATAATAGTAGATCTATACAAAATCTTAAATTTGTCGTTTACCCTCTTTCTCTTGTTACCGGTAATCAGCGGCATCACGCCCACATGAATGTCGCCGAGCCGTGTCGGCGCGGTTTGTGCCTGGCCTGGGCCTGGGAATTACGGGCGCGGGCGCGGCGCGGGCCATCAGCTAGCGAACAATGAATAGTGTAGCACTTGCCACTGCCACTTGGTGGGGCAGCTGCTGTGCAGTGAGTGAATACGCCTTTATAGCATTGACCACACTGTGACTAGTGTGTTGTTGGTGTGTTGCAAACTATATTCAAACAAAATCAATGCTCGCTCGTCGGCCTAGCTAACTCTTCTCTTTCTCATGTTTATGCGCTCCTATAGTATTGGCCGATCTGCTCGAGTGGCCTAGAATTTAAGTGAGAGAGGGCCCAACTTAATAAGCGCGACTTAAATTCAATAGCAATGTCAATACGTATTACCACGTCACACCTAGACCGAAAGCTTCAGTCTCTATAATCGTCGGTTGTTCCACTGAGACTACGTCTGGCTCCACTAGACCTCCGGTTATAGAGACTGAATGACCGCCTACGCCATTGTATGTTGAAGATATCACGGCTAGATTTTAGCCGTTAGGCCCCACCCATAAACATGACAAACTTGCCACGGCCGTATTGTTATGCCCCCAAAATCCCCCAAAATGTCATTTTACCTCGTGTATATCCAAATGTAAATTAGGCCTAGGCTATAATACATCGGTTCCACTTACTAACTTGATTGAAATAATCCGTTTAATGGTCCCTTTTAAGGAAATTATGGGTCAAAATCAACATCCATGTTGAAAATCTTGCAAGCCGTGTTGAAACTCTCGCTGCCGTCAATCTCATCCCTTCTAGTCTACGCCGAAGGCAAAATGATTATGAAGGAAAAACTGTGCGCCATCTACACGTTCGTAATGGCGTTATCACAGTTTTTCCTTCATAATCATTTTGCCTTCGGCGTAGACTAGAAGGGATGAGATTGACGGCAGCGAGAGCTTAACACGGCTTGCAAGATTTTCAACATGGATGTCGATTTTGACCCATAATTTCCTTTAAAGGGACCACTAAACGGATTATTACAATCAAGTTAGTAAGTGGAACCGATGTATTATAGCCTAGGCCTAATTTACATTTGGATATACACGAGGTAAAATGACATTTTGGGGGATTTTGGGGGCATAACAATACGGCCGTGGCAAGTTTGTCATGTTTGTGGGAGGGGCCTAACGGCTAAAATCTAGCCGTGATATCTTCAACATACGATGGCATAGGCGGTCATTCAGTCTCTATAACCGGAGGTCTAGTGGAGCCAGACGTAGTCTCAGTGGAACAACCAACGATTATAGAGACTGAAGCTTTCGGTCTAAAGTTTTACGTGCTCATATACTACTTGTCTACTTCCATCATATATATACTCGTAGTCTAGTCATACATTTTGAAATCAGTCTAGAATTTAACAAAAAACTTGGTAATTTGTTACGGGAGTGATGGCACTTTGCTAATTATCTACGTGATCCTGATGACAGTGAGCTAACAAGCATCTTGTGATTTACAATGATTCCAAAAACGCTGACCTCTGGCAACATTTGCGATGTTGGTTCTACCATGGTTAGTATAGGCAGTACTTATGCATGCAGTACCACTAATGCAAAGGTATGCAGTGTACATGTACGTAAAAATGCCTGTTTTTGAGTTGCCAACTTTTTAACATTAGCGATTAGTGTATAAAGGTGCTAAAGGTTCCCTAAGTCCAGCAAACTCTTTGTGTGCGCCTTAGTATACTAAGCTAATTGCTATACTAGTATTAGACATTGTACTGGTATCGAGTTGGCAATGTTTAAACAGGAATTATAGTGTTGTACACTGCATACCTTTGCATTTGTCCTTCAAGAATTTCTGACTTTTTAATTGTTTTGTTCCATTTCATTCAAACTTTCATCAGTCTGCTTTTTTGATATTTTAACCTTTTCTTTAGAGTAATGTACGACTAAGGTTGAAATTTTCCTATAATTGTATCTCCTCTTTGACAGTCCTACTATGGCAGTAACTCTTCAATAAGGGGGCTAGCCGCCAGGGCCCCCGCCGTTCCGGGGCTGGCCATCAACGACAACATGATGCTCCAGAAATCTCCTGTTCCTGTTGTCGGGGCGTCGGCCGAGACTTCCCGACCCCTCGTCCTCTTGCTTAGCTGGCTGGTTGCTAAGGAACGACACGTAAACAACTTCTCACGTATCTATTTGGATCGAGGATGTGACGTGTTAGTCGTTAAAATGAAACCTATGCAGATCCTTCTACCGCAGTCAGGCTCACAGGTAATTAGTAGCTGTATGATCCCCTATGTCCAAATATAACAGAAATTGATAATAATGATGATGATGATGATGATAATGGTATTATAAACTAATAGACTATGAAGAGAAGTAAAATGATGAAAATATATTTAAACAACAATGATAATAACAACAATGACAACACCAATAATAATAATACTGATAACAATAAAAATGATATTACTAATAATAGTAATGATAATAGTAAAAATGCTGAGCACATTATATCTTTGAAAAAAGAATAGTAATGAAAGAAGTCAAACAAATAAAAAAGCTACAGGAAAATGACATTGATTGCTTTGCACATATATGAATCAATTACAGCCCTCAAGTGTTGGGAGCCCCAAATTGTTGGCAAAATTTCACTTGAATTGTATCATAAATAAAAAGGATGTCATGTAAGGCTCATTTCTGCAAGGATTTTCAAAAGAAATGTGTTTGAAGTCAAAGTTGATGAAAGAATACAAAATTGAGGTTTTCTGCATACAACAGAAATTCTTTTATAATTATTTGTCTTCAAACACATTTTTGGGGATACAATTTAAGCTTGATTTACATTATGGGGATACTACTCCATAGTTTTGGGGCAGCATGCTTAAAAATCCCTTTACCATCAGACAGAAATTGTACTTGAATATGTTCAATCTCTTTGGTTGAGATTCCAAGAGTCAGATTATTCTGAGGTTGGTCTGCCAAGGGATAAGATTTTAAGAGGAACTTAATTTTTCCACATTGGTCAAAATGTCGTCTGTTAATTTCGAGATGTGTGTTTATTTTCTTTCTATCCGTTATTTGTTTGTCATGTACATGTAGGTTGTGGCTCAGCGTGTTGTAGATTTTCTACAGCTCGAGGACAATCGTGAACGTCCTATCTTTGTCCACTCCTTCAGCGTAGGCGGCTACCTCTATGCCGAGATCCTACAGAAGATGATCGCCGCGGAGAAAACCAAGGGAGAACTGACCGGTCGCGTGATCGGTCAGATCTACGACAGTGTCGTCGACCTGGACAAGGTAGCGTTCGGCATCGCCAACGCACTCTTCTCCCAAAAGATGTTACAGAAGAGCGTTGAAAGGAGCATCGATGCGTACCTGGCCATGATGTACCGACCGGCGACGCAGCATTACACTCGAGCGTCCCGGCTCTTCTACCACAACCCCGTGAAAGCGCCCTCTCTGTTCTTCTATTCGTACGCCGACCCTGTAGGCAGCGCCACGGCGATAGAGAACTGTGTCAAGAACCTGCGTACCAAGATGGGTCACGACAAAATCTACACCAAGTCGTTCCAGAAGTCACGTCACGTCAGCCATATGCATAAGCACAAGGAGGAGTACTTTTGCTCTCTGTATAGTTTCTTTAGAGAAGTCCCGTACTTTGCAGACAAAGTAGATCTCGATGTAAGTGAGCAAATTGAGACGAAAGCCATCAAATCATAATGCTGTAATTGTGCTTTCCATGTGGCAGGGTATCTATCCAAAAGCAAGTCTGTATGTTTAATGTTCATATTTTATTCCTCTTTTCATGTAACTTTGAACCCATGTACACCTGTATAGCCCTAGGCTATTCTATGCGAGTGCGTATGCATGCGTAAACTAGTCTACTCAACAAGATATTTTATTGTTCACTGAGAATGGAAGCTCACTTTTTTAGTACATCAAGAGCAAAATATATTTTTTAATTGGTAAACTTAAAGACAGGCATTTTTGTTTTATTACTTCTTCTATGATGACATTAAAAAACAAAACAATTAAACGTCATCATTTCAAAGGTCATTTTTTGTGTCATTGTCGCCATGCATGTAAAAGTTGTCATTTTCATCTATTTTAGTAAATTTTTACTTCATTCTTTCCTGCAATGGCCTTGTTATAGAAATCTGTGATTTAAAGCAGTATTATGTAAAGTGTTTTTATTTTGATACATGTCATAATGTGTACCGCTACAGTGTATGCACTTTGTTTTTCTCTCCGTATGTTTCATGGGCATTATATGTGAGTATTATGAGCTTTTTATGACGTAATTATTTCCATGCTGAATTTGACCTGCCTTTAATATTATCAAACATTCCCCTTGATTAATCTCAAAAAATACAGTTAACAGCTGAATTATTCATACCTCTTGTAAATTATTTTTTAATTTCTTTTTTGAGTGGTTTGTTTCGTAACTCAACTTTTTTCCTGTAATAAGTTGAGTACTGTAATAAAATTACAATAAACATTTATTATGTGCACATATATGAATATAAAAGGCGCCTATAGCGTAAAATATTTATTTTTTGCTCATGAATATGAAGCATTACAATTAATTACAATTTTACTTTGATATTATGTTCTCTTCACAATGTGTTCTGACTCGTTAATGTCTTTTCAATGACTTCTCTCATAATATGTGGTTACAAAATATGGTTACCTGACGTACACTCCGGCGACAAATTTCCCCGGGCTTTATTTCATTAGTTTGGTTTAGGGTACCGGTACCTATCAATAGTATTGCATTTAAAGCCCCACTGTCCTACTTGTAGCTACTTGCTCCCTCTATATAGAAAACTTCCCCAATCGGTGCCTGTTGGTCCCCCATGATCCTCTTTTTCTTATGTTAGTTGAGAGCTGAGTTAATGAGATAGCCACCTGTCAGTGACCTCGCTGTGTGGTCTTATCCCTTCTGGCCCAGTAGTATCGAGAGTCTTTAAGCCATAACCCTATAAAAGGTCAGTTATTTTGGTGCTCTCTCTCAGCCCCCCGTGATCTCGGCCATAGAATGATGAAAAAGAATTTAGTCAGTGTAGAATTTTGACCAGAGTAATTGTCGCTTGAGTATATATGTATAGTACTGTATGTGTCGTGAAATAGCATTGATTATGTGCTCCTTGCCTCTTTGTTTTTTTAAAAGCCCTTCACAATTACGTGATTGAAGAAATTAACAAAACATTTTGGATAATACATGTTTTTGAATAATTTTGTACTCGGTTAACATAATTTTCTTCAGAATGTTGTTATTCTTGCAAACTTTCTCTTTACGAGTCATTTCAAATTATCTTTTTGGGTTTCGAATTACTTGAAACATGCACTATATAAATTGCATATTTAGCGAACAATAAGATATAAAGAAGAATCATACTTTTGTTATCAAAGTCATATCCAGAAACTAAAATACTTTTTTAGTAATACTGATATACAAATCATCAACAGTATAGAATAATCCTGGCCTCCTTATAACATATGTACATGTGTGTGTATGACATGATGTTGAAAACTTGTCTCCTTAAGCATTGCTATACATGTATGATGTAGTAAGACCTACTGTATACATATTACGAAGCATTTAAAAATTATGGATCAATTAAAACAGTATGTTATCTCAAAATATGGACTAAAATGACAATTTGTATGGTGGTTTGTGAATTAACTGTTATGATGCAAAGCTTTGGTATTAATCAGTGCAATGTTAATTGATGTCTATCTTTAGTGCATAGGAGTAACTGTGTCATGTCAGTGAATGCACAAATCTGCATTCATAGCAAATAAGGTGTTACTTGTTGTAAATTGATACTAATGTATACATTTTAGTGTACCTTTACATGTTATAGTAGGTGTGATAAACTAAGTGCACTATTATGTATCTTTAAAATGGTGATTTTCCACCTTAGATTTTATTATCTTTTCAAATTTGCCAAATCGTGATGCACACTCACTATGAACATAACGGACAGAGAAAGCGGACAAAATATACAGTTCCTCAGGTAGACAAAGGAACATCCCTTCACTGCTATTATGTACAAATGTGTATAACAGGTGAATATGCATGTGACACCTGTTCTACACAATTTTACATAATAGCAGTGAAGGATGTTCCTTTGTCTACCTGAGGAACTGTATATTTTGTCTGCTTTCTTTGTCCGTCATATTCATAGTGACTATTAATAATAACTCATGATATGATTGCAGTGCCAGTAGGGAGAACTGATGATGAGGCTACCCAGGATAAACAAGACATATCATTATCAGTATTATTATTAATATCACACTGCATATATTTTGTTCTACTACTGCTGCATACATCAAACAAGGCCTTGTGACTGATAGGGGGTCAGTTTGAAAGATTATTTGTCAAAGATTACAGAGGCATTGTGTGTACATGATCTTGAGTTAGTACATGCAAGGAGGGTAGTAACTCCTTGGTTATACAGTAATTCCGTTCGAGGGTAGGTTTTGGGGGGATTTAGTTGGTGCTTATTGACTATATGTAAAGGCATCTACATGTATGTGTATTTGTTTCATGGCTTTGTAATAAGTGATGTATCACTCAAAACAAATATTTAATAATTTCCAGAAGAAAAAAAATCCCTGGACATTATGTCTTTCTTCATTTTGGAGATGACGTAATAGTTTACATAATGTACATGGACATATACTTACACATGCAAGTATAGTTTTGAAAATGAAGTTCACACTCGTTGTTTAATTGGTTTTAATGGAGGCAGTCAGGCAGATCAGTGTAAGTTTGAGCAATATCTGATTTAAAATATACATGCATACATAGTTCTTAATGTTTGAAGTTGCAATCGATCAAACAATTATTGGCAACTCTATGAAATATCTTGAGAGGTCCTTTTTCCCATTTCTTTCATGTATAATTTGTACTCATTGCAAATATTTCAGCCCCTGTATGAAACAAATCTATTCGTTCATCATAAAGTAAGAAAATGGAAATCAGTAGAAATTATGAGAGAGGACCTTGAAAGATATGTCAGAGCTGCCCATTTGTGTTTCAAAGACTACACCACTTCCCTATTGTGTATTGGATTTTTGCTCAAAATTTTCATGCTTTTTCTCTGACTTTGTTTAGCTTCTATGAATACCAACTTCATTTCAGGGTTAATTTTGATCCATTCTTCAATGTTATGCAGGCTTCTAATATGAAATACTGTACTTATAACGTTTTAAATGTAAGCATTTTAGTGAAATGCTGATACTCGTGCTGTAAGCAATGGCTGCGAAGATATGGTACTAAGTGTGTTAACTGATGATTATTGGAAACAAAGAAGGCCTAAAAGGCATTTGTACACAAATATTTATGCTTGATTGTTTTTTTGTATTGTATTGTTCGATCACATGTAAAGCAGTAGACCACCCACCAAAACAAAACAAAACAAAAACGGCACGATTTGTTTGTGGACTACACTGGAAAACCAGATACATTAGGATTACCCATCTATGCAATAGCTTTGTGTAGGTAGGAGACTTTATGCTACTCCCAACAGCATTTGAAAGATGATACTAATTTAGAAATTCCCTAAAAAAAGGGGGCTTGAAAATGTCTTTAGGAGGGAAAATAATGAATATCTTAGTCGTCGAATCAACTTGAGAGCTATAGAGCCAGTAAGTAATAGTCTGATTTTCAGACCATTGTACTGAATGGTTGTACGTTTTATGCTGCGCAAAGATTCAATCAGTTTAATTTTGGCCATTACAAGAAGTGGGTTATTGATGTAGACAAATGCTCATGTACCCTTTACAACTCTTTTCATGTATGTTATTACCAAAGAAGAAAAAAAGCCAGTCAGTCACTCAATAGTGTCTGATAGTGAAGTCTAGCCAGTTAACAGGTTTCCTTGCATAATTTCAATATTAGGACACTGCTAACATTTAAATTTGACAGATAGGACTTACATGACATATTCACAATTCCTGCAAAGTTCTACAGAATTTGATGATGGCTGCAAAAGGGACAGTATCTTTAAGCCTTGTTTCAGATATGACATGATGGGTAATAATAATTATTATGTTCTTATAAAAGACCAGTTGGAGAGCTTTGATTGAACTAATAAGTTGTATAGCTTTATTGAGGCTCTATGTCAGTCAGACATCTTTGTAGGCATCTCCTGTACAAGTACTCATTGTTTCATAACATGACCTGGCATGAGTCATGGGTTGCAGGTCATTCTATATTTAGTTATACATGCTAGTCTGTATATGCAGACTCTGTAAAACTACATGTAGCTATCACTACACCTCCCTTCTTTAAAAGAGGTTTACATATATATATATAAAAACTTCTTAAACTGTACAGAGTGACAGGGTGGACTACCTGTACACTCGCGACTGTACTAGGGCATTATTCTGTCCCTTAAAGCTGGAGTACTGTCGCTTTCAAATATATAACTTATTACGCGACAGTCCATATCTTTCAAGGTTGCGATTCGCGAAACTGGAATTCTCCGTTGAGGTTGAGTGATATCTGTTGATTTTTGTAATCAAAGTGACTAATTAAATCCGGTTCTATTTTTAAACTATAACATGCAAATATATATCATGCTCATGCAATCCTGCAGTTATGTTTTAAAGTCCAAGTTGAACTCTGTAACTATAAACTATTTACAAAACGCGAAAGTCTTTCTCTGTAGTTCGCTTTCATTTATTTACAAGTTCAAGCGATCTGGCGGTTTAATAACTCGTCCGCTTCTGGTTCTGGTTGATGACGTAGTTGAGCTTTCTTCAGATGCTGGTTGCTCTGTAGCTTCTACAGTGTCATCTAGCTCGAAGTCATCCTGTGTTGGTAGTGGAATAGACTCGGCTTGTTGTTGACGTGGGACTGGCCTGAGGTGACGTCTGTTTCTGCGACGCATCTCTCCTGTTTCTGTCTCGATCTGGTATGATCTGTTTCGATCCTGGACAGACCTGACAATACCACGTTTCGACCAGGTGTTGGTTTTCATGTCTTGGAGTATGACATGATCTCCAGGCTTTAGCTTTGACAAGTCTCGAGCATGTTTGTCGAATCGCTCTTTTTGCTTCACCTTATGATCCTCCTTTCTTCCCCTCACTGATCGAGTATTGACCTGTTGGTTGTCGAGTAAACTGTCAAGCATGGGAAGATTTGATCGAAGTCGACGATTGTAGAGGAGTTCTGCCGGAGACTTTCCGCATGCTAGTGGTGAACTGCGATAGACTTGGAGAGCTCTGTGGATATCCTGTCCACTGTGCTGTGACTTCAATATAAGTTTTTTGACAATCTTCACAGCATTCTCTGCGAGGCCATTGGATTGCGGATAATATGGACTCGATGTAGTATGGCGAAAATCCCATTTTTTTGCAAAGCTCTGGAACTCTTGGCTTGCAAATTGAGGACCATTATCCGACATGAGTTCACATGGCGTTCCATGGCGAGCAAATACTGCTTTCATGTGGTTGATCACGGCCTTGCTACTAGTAGAAGTCATAGTACATACTTCAATGAACTGTGAATAGTAGTCGACGATGACCATGTACTCTCTATTGTTCAGCGTGAACAAATCAACAGCAACTTTTTCCCACGGGCGGTTCGGCACGTCATGAGGATGTAGACTTTCAGCTTGCTGTTTTGGTCTGTACATTAGGCATGAAGTACAACTTTGGACCATTTCAGTGATGTCTGTGTTGATTCTGGGCCAATAGATGACTTCTCTAGCACGTTTCTTACACTTCTCGATGCCTAAGTGTCCTTCATGGATTTTGTTTAGCATGAACCTTCTCATCGTAGTGGGAACCACTATTTTGCTGCCTTTGAAGATGATGCCATCTGCTTCAGAGAGTTCACTCCTGATGTTCCAGTATTCCCTGACTCTAACTGGACATTGCTGCTTCGTTTCCGGCCAACCATCTCTGATGATGCCTAGCAGCTCTTGCAGTTGATCATCTTTCTTTGTCTCTTCGACAATCTGATTTCGTTTGTTCGATGTAACTGGCATGCTCTTGACAATAGCATCTACGTAGACCCTGATATCTTCCTCAGTTTCAGCATTCAACTCAGCCTTTGGATCTACTGCTCTGGACAATGTATCAGCAGTATACATGTACTTTCCAGGCGTGTACAAGACCTTGAGATCATATCTCTGTACCCTGATGAGTAACCTTTGAATGCGTAGGGGACAGTCACCCAGTGACTTTACAAACAGTGGAATAAGTGGCTTGTGATCAGTCTCCACTTCTACTTGTTGTCCATAGATGTATTGATGGAATCTTTCACATGCGTATGTGATTGCCAGCAATTCTTTCTCGATCTGTGCATATCTAGTCTCTGCATCAGTCATTGATCTAGATGCATATGCGATCGGAACCCAATCTTGATCATATTGCTGTAGTAGCACTGCACCAATACCATCCTTTGATGCGTCTGCTGACAGCTTGGTTGGTTTCTTGCTGTCATAGAAATGTAGGACTGGCTCTTGTATCAGAGCTTGTTTCAGCTGATTCCATGCCTCCTCTTGTGCATGATCCCATGTCCATACATTCTTTTTGTCTAGTAGATGTCTCAGCGCTGCTGACTTGGTCGACAGATCTGGAATGAACTTCCCTTGGTAATTGATCATTCCCAAGAACCGTTGGACATCTTTCCGACATTTCGGTCTCCCAATGTTCAAGATAGCAGACACTTTCTTTGGATCAGGTTGAACTCCTTGATCACTGATCAAGTCACCAATGAATGTGAGCTTCTTGACATTGAACTCGCATTTTTCTTTGTTCAACTTGAGATTCATTTTTCTCACAATGCTGAGAACCTCTCTCAACCTGTCATCATGCTCCTGTTGGGTAGTTCCCCATACAATCACATCATCCATCATTGTGTTAACTCCCGGAATATGTGCAAACAGCTGGTGCACTATCTTGTGATAGACTTCCGGAGCACTACAAATACCAAAAGGTAGTCTCAAGAACTTGTACCTTCCGTATGGCGTGATAAACGTACAAAGATTGGAGCTTTCGTCATCTAGTTGGATCTGCCAAAAACCACTAGACGCATCTAACTTGCTGAAGTATTTGGCTCCTGCAAAATGTGCAGTTATTTCAGCTCTTGATGGCAATTGATAGTGTTCTCTTTTGATTGCTCGGTTCAGGTCTCTTGGATCTAGACAGATCCTGAGCTGACCATTCTTTTTCATCACCACCACGAGAGAAGAAACCCAATCAGTTGGCTCATCAACTCGTGTGATTACGTCCATTCGTTCCATCTTATCTAACTCGTCTTTGAGTTTATCTTTAAGTGGAAATGGAACTTTGCGACATGCATGCTGAACAGGATGTGCGTCCTCTCTCAATGTGATGTGGTGTTTACCAGGAAGACAACCTAGACCTACAAACACATCTTGATAGTCTTGAACTACACTTTTACCCGTTCCGTGTTCAGTTTGTTTCTCAACATGATACACCCGTTTCACCAGATACAAGTCTTCACTCGTCCGTAATCCTAACAAAGGCTGACGATTTCCAGGAATGACTAGACACGGCACATTGCGTTTGATCCCTTTGTACTCAACTTGTACACAACAACGACCTTTGACCGGGATATCTGTCTCATAATAACCTGTCAACATCACTTTGGCTGTTTGTAGCTTTGGTTTTGGTTTCAATTTGTGGAATACTGTCTCAGGAAGAAGATTCGCCTGAGCACCAGTATCAACCTTGAAGTCAACCGGCTGGTTATTGACTAGTAGATTAACTATCCATTCATCCTCGGATTCTTTTGATTCAACAGAGCAAATCATGAAACCTTCTGAATCTACCTCCAAGTGCTGCAGTTCATTGACCTTGGCTACTGGGGTTTTACAACATTTAGCAAAATGATTCTGCTTACCGCACTTCTTGCATGTTTGACCTTGTGCGGGACATTTGTCTTTGCTATGTCGGTTTCCGCACCTGCTACATGCATCACTTTTAGTACGACCTTGAGGTTCTGACCGTTTTAACTTTGAACCAGGAAATTTCTTCTTAGTCTTGCTGAAAGAATCTACCGGAATTGAGGCGTTTTCCCCTGCGGAACTCAACGCTTGTGCCTGCGTTCGAGTTTGTTCAGCCGCACGACATACTTGCAACGTTTTAACCAATGTAAGATCATCTTGCCTCAACAAACGTTCTCTTAGACCATCGTCTAAAATACCACAGATAATTCTGTCCTGGATAAGACTCTCTTTCAACATGGAAAACTCACATGACTGAGCACGACTCCGCAATTCTGTTGCATACTGATCAACACTCTCATGCACTAACTGAGATCTTGTGAAAAATCTATGTCTCTCATACGTTAGATTACGTTTCGGCATGCAATATTCCTCATATTTGTTCAACACTTTCTCAAGCTTCATGCTCTCACCCTCAGCAAATACAAACGTATTATACAATTCCAAGGCAGCATCGCCAATCACGTGTAGAAGCATTGATGTTTGTAACTTTTCATCTTTTTCAGACATTCCTGAGGCAACATTGTATAGAGTGAATTTCTGTTTAAATCTTCTCCAGTTCTCGGAAATATTTCCCTTTAAGTCGAGTGGAGGAGGTTGACTGAGATTTGCCATTTTGTTTCTTTTTGTTTCTTAGCCTAGTGTAATCACTCACATGAACAGCATAACAATTAGCTTTTTCTTTTTGTATCTTTGCAACAATTACTTTAAGCTCAACTATTAACTTTCACTGAGTTATTCTGTATGTTCATGTCCCATATATGTCATGCTTACTGCCCGTTATACTGGAACTGGCCCGGCACAAAACTATGCACTCCAATCCATACAACGACAGCGCTAACTATTATGGACATAACTACATTCACTGGACATACACTTAGACTCTAAGCCCCCTAGCTCTCATCATCTCTCACATCACAAAGAATTGGATTGAACTGGCCTGATTTCAATGATTCCTCCATAGATATATACTGTAGCTGGGTTGCTCAGCACAAACACTGGCTGCTAAGTTCTGACACCATATTATGTTCTTATAAAAGACCAGTTGGAGAGCTTTGATTGAACTAATAAGTTGTATAGCTTTATTGAGGCTCTATGTCAGTCAGACATCTTTGTAGGCATCTCCTGTACAAGTACTCATTGTTTCATAACATGACCTGGCATGAGTCATGGGTTGCAGGTCATTCTATATTTAGTTATACATGCTAGTCTGTATATGCAGACTCTGTTAAACTACATGTAGCTATCACTACAATAATAATGATAATAATAGTGGGTTCTTGTTTAGCGCTCATAATACACGTCTTATTTCTGTATCTCACAACACAGAGCTCAGTGAATCTGTGCAGGAACTTGGTTGCGCGCAGTTGCCTTTCATTTGCTCGTAAACAAATCACGCTGTTTTTCAAAGAATTTGGAAGAAAAACTATAACTAATTTTACTTGACCATATCGGCATCTAAACAAAAGTAATAATATTAAAGATAAACTTGAGTTCTGGTAAAAAAAGAAAATGAATTCTCACAGAATCGAACGAAACGTACACTGAATGTTCAAGATTACAAATAAATGTCATGTGCCAAACAATTTTGGAAGAAAATGTATACTGGCTGAGTAATGAGCATAGAAAGATAAGGAAATCAGGGTAGTACTAACCCCGACACCATGTGTGTTGTCCCATATACATCTTTCTGTGTAAGTGATTGTTACTTTACCAAGACTCTGCCAAATTTAAGATGATTTTGATGACTCCAGAACCTTGCATTACACACGATTACTTACATGCTATATGATCAACTTTTCTGATCCATTCCACACCTTTTCTTTCACAATGCAATCGTATTACCAGAACTCAAGTTTATCTTTAATGAAACAAATAATATGGGACACCTGTCTGAATAGAGCACACATATTACACTGACTTAATTTTCATTAACAAAAGGATGTACATAATTTTATTGGTGGAATGCAAAGAAAACTGCAACAAACAGAAATGTACAACTGTTATTTCACATAGTTACAACACAGCCGACATCAAAGTATGAGAAAAACTACACACGACAGGAGAAGAAAGATTTAGGTTACCACCTGAGCATTGTTTCACAAAACCGTGATGAGTATAAGTTCACTGACATCCCCTTGAAACACATGTTGAATTGAATACATTTCAATGGGTTATCGGCGAATTTGTACTTGTGATGCGTTTGTGAAAAGCTGCCCTGGTGTTTTGCAATGGTCAAACGAATGTGTCCTATTTCAAAGTGCCACTATAACAAGTACAAATAACAGCATTTGTATTATCATTATTAATATCATAAGGTACTGCACAAATAACTAACAAAAATGCATGATTTTCAAGTTCTAGGGATGCCAGTTAGAATTTATCAGAGGGTCTGAAAATCACCTAGAATGAGCTATTTTGTACATAAAAAAGCCTGAACTATGGTCTCAAAATAACTCGCCAGAATTCAGGCTATTGCCTAAAAACTGGCATCCCTGAAGTTCATTTGATTTTCTCAAACAAATATGACGAGTACAAAATTGGGATTAGCATGTAAAAACGGTAAAGGTAAAAGCAAGCTAATAAGTCATGGGATTTATTTATTTTATCCCTGCCTTTAATACCCAAAACTTTCTGAAAGCATGGCTCTGTACTAAACAACACTTATCAGCAATCTGAGGTCATTTACACATCGGCTGATTATTCACACTTTGTAGATGTCAAGTCGACAAATGAATCGAATGTTTCCCCAAATATCAATATTCCAGTAATAGCATGGCTAATTAGTCTAATACATTGTTTTATCCCTGCCTTTGGCACCAAAACCTTTCTCAAAGCATGGCTCAGTACCAAACAATACTTCTCAGTAATCTAAGGTCATTTACACATCAGCTGATAATACACACTTGTAAACAGAGTCCTGGGACCTGTTTCACACAGCCTTTTTTCAATTAAAATCAGTCACAAATCTGCTGATAACCAATCAGAAGCAAGGGTTTTACTAGCTTAAAACAAAAACTGACATTAGTAACTGATGACAAGTTTTGTGAAACGGGGCCCTGATCATGCCTTAACTATAATTTTCAGTTAGCTACATATTTACCAAGTGTAAATAAGTCGGCAAATGAATCGAACTTTTGCCCTTATCTCAACATCACTCTACTCATCCCCGTCTTGGGCACACAGAGATTCTCTGAAAGTTTGCCTCACTGCCAACAATATAAATCAGTAGTCAAAGGTCGTCACCTGATTACCACGTGTGTATACAAAGTACTGATAAGGATACAGATAGCAGGAAATCCAAAGGCCATACCGGTAAACTTTTTTCTTTTCTTCAAAGGTCCTATTCAACCCATTTGATATTTCACATGGTCACAAAAGCAGTCAATTCTTTTACAAAGTTGTTTATAAGTACAAGGTAAAACATCCATTATTACACTCAGAAACAGAAATGTCTGTATTCACCTAATTCATTTAAACCCAACCCTGGGTTGATGGGCCCTAAATCTTTATTTAGGGAAAATAAGTGTTCAATTAAAAAAAAATAAAAAATAATAAGAGGGGGAGGGGAAGGGCTTTTCCAAGCCAAGAAGCAGCTTTTACAAGAAGACACGGCATTGCACCTCAATATCAAAACTGTGTGCCGGGCCAAGAATCTCTAACATGCAGGCTTGGAAATGCGCAGCAACACGACAAAAATGACCCCGCATTTTATTGAGGGAAATAGCACTCCTTTTTATCCTAGCAGAAGAAACATTGAGTAAATTATGTAGATTGATGATTCTTTGAGTAAAGATCGATTCAACATGGAGCTGTTGTAGACTCTAGTTTATTCTAATCTTTTTGTTAGCTGGATAGGAAGCAGAGATGTACATGAATTTGTGTACTTCTCAAATGTTGGATACGTCTTCTAGTAAACAGGGATAATAATAATTACAATGTAAAGTGCTTAGAAACATACTAGTTACTAGTATTAAGTGATATAGAAATGTGATGATTATTGTTATTATTATTTGCAAATGGTTCAAATTTGCGTAAGATTCAAGCCACGCATAATAAAAACACAAGTGGCATAACACTGCATTTGCATTAATCACGGAAGTATCTTTGTGAGAATTTCTGGTTGAGCAGTATACTTGAGTAAAGTTTTGGAGTTTTCTAGGAGACCGGTATCCGAGGCACAGAGTGAATAAATAGATGCTATGTTGACAAAACAAATGAGGGGTTTGAAGCTTGGATGAGAACTCCTCATGTATCCATCTCCTCATCGTTATCTGCGAAGCAAAATAGAAGTAAGATAAAAATGAATGAAAATCCATTATCATCATCAATTCATCATGAGAATGGCCATCTTCATCATCCCCATCAAAAATATAAATATTAAATTTCATTATAATTATTATCAATTCTTTTATATAACTTTCATTGGTACACTTGTAGTATTATTATCTATCATATCTTTGCACATCATCATCAAGATCCTCCTTATTTACATTCACCTTTGTCCACATCTCGCATAAATCAAATAGAATCTCATCTGCTCCTACATCAATCTCGTTGAACAGGAAATCTTGTTGGTATTCTTTCATCATCATCATCACCACCATCACCCTCACCAGCACCATTATCACCATCACCATTATCATCATAACCATTATCATCATGACCATCGTCAACATCATCATCATCATCATCATCACATTCATCCCCATCTGCATTCACCTACATCCACCTCTGAGCTAAATCACAGTGAATCTTATCTCCTGCTGGAACATGAAATCTTGTTGGTAATCTTTTATCATCATCACTATCATCAATTTATATCACCATCCTCATTATCATCACAATAACCATCATCATCAACATCATCATCATCCTCACCATCACCATTACCATCATCATCGTCATTATCATCATCACCACCATCGTCATCCTCACCCTCGTCATCATCATCTTCACCTGCGTGCACATCTAACCTAAGTATTACCTCCTGCTGGGTCCACCTCGTTGAACATAAAATCTTGTTGGTACTCTTTCAAGAACTGTGTTGATCTTGATTCATCCAAGAAGAGAGAATACACGCGCCTGATATCATCTACTTCTACCTCCGTACCCTGCGACACCAAACAGAACAGAGATGTGAAATAAATTTAGATTTATCTATGCAAAGAGGCTCTGTATACTTGAATTATGATATTTTCATATTTACAAAAGATGAATGGAGGTGTAATGGTATAGTAGCTCATTCACTGCATAACACACAACAATGGAATCATCCCATACGCGGTATTGGCGAGCCAAAGATTTCATCAATTTTTGTCACTAAATAGTTAAATACACACTATTTTAAAGCCTGTCAGTACTAGTGTACAGGAGGGATTAGACCACACGGCATGGTCACTGACGGTGGTTATCTCATCAAATCAGCTCTCAAATAACATAGGGGGACCAATTAGGCATTGTTTGTTACGTAGTAGCTACAAAAAATGCAGTCCCGCTTTAAAGAGTAGAAGAAAAATTACCTTTCTTTTCCTAGAGACTAGGTTCGCTGCTAAGATTGTTTCTAAGGTGTCGTGGTGCTAATCAAGAATGGAATTGGTTGATTTTGGAAGGCCATTTTGTTGCACAAAGTAATCATTCCTTGATTTGTGCCTATTATTCGTCCGAAATGTTTGCACATATGGCAAAAGAGCAACTGTTAAATGAGTAGAAGAATTACCTTTCTTTTCCTGGAGACGAGGTTTGCTGCTGTGATGAGCTGAATGGCGTATCTCAATGATGTCTCTAAACCAATCCTCGTCAGGACCGTCAGCGCATCATCAGTCATCTCAACATCTTCCTCCTCACATCTGAGAAATTAAACAATTAATAATAATAATAATTAGTGGCATTTCTATAGCGCCGTCTAACTAGAAATTCTATTCCGAGGCGCCTTAATTATTACCCCGGCTTTAGCCTAGCTGACATTAGAGATTGACCAAACAAAATTTTCACTTGAAACAATGAAAAATATCAATTGGTAACGACAAATAATAATAACAGTTATAATAACATCTAGCAATAAGTACACTCTACAAAGTACAACTCTATCACGGCATTTACAAATAGATCATACATAATGTTGAACTAAAGTTTAAACTGAAGATAAGTACAAAGATTGAAAGGAAAGAAAAGGGGATTCATTAAAAGAGATTTTCAAGGATTTCTGAAATTAGTCTGTGGAATTATCTCCTATAATTGTCTCCACACCCATGTTAATTCATACAGTGCTTCCTAGTTCTTACCAACAGGAGTTTCTTACCTGATGTTCAAGATTTGCTTCAACTCCTTCTCATTGTAGGTTGATGTGGAGATGATGAGTAGCCTGTCCAACAAGTCTAGAGGGATTCCGTGAGGACTCTGGTAGCTGGTGCCTCGAATTCTATTGGAAAAAGAGATATTTAATATTAATATTGGATGGCCTTGATGTGAATACAAGGAAATATTAGACGAAACATGCCAACAAAATAAGATGAATCAGAGACAAAATCCAATATTTTTTGCAAATCGAGTTTAATATTCCCTTGGCAGAATAACACCAACCAATGTTCTTGTTACTATTCCAAAATGAAATATTATAATTTTGAGAAAAAAATTCACGTTCTACAAAACCTTTTTACGCCACGTGTTCGTGTAGTCCCATATACATCTTTCTGTGCAAGTGTTTGTAACTTTACCAAGACTTGGCCAAATTTCTTATCATTTTGATGATTCCAGAACCTTGCAATACACACAAATTCTTATATGCTAGATGATCAACCTTTTCTGGTCGGTTCCACACCGTTTCTTTAACAATGCAATTGCATGACCAGAACTCAACTTTATCTTTAATATCTATGGGTGTATCCATTGTCTAGCCTTGCATGTTGGAAGACGTCTCCATTGCTAACACAAACTCAAAAGGCCACGAGTCCATTAACTTTAATATCATGCTCCCTTGACAGAGAATAATGGTCAGGTTCAACAAATCTTTATGACAGGCACATGTAATCCACACAAAGTACACATACATGTTCATGTAGCATGAGTCAAGACTGTTCAAAATAGGCAATTTTCGCAATGAACCAAATTTATGCATACCGTATTTGCCGGCGGTAAGGCCGCAGCGCCGTATAGGCCGCACCCCCGATTTTGACTTTAAAAACAAATATTAAAAAAAAGTGTCGAAGTCGGGATTTGATCTCTTGCTTACAAATGTTGATGTGACTAAAATCACCGCCTAAGACCGCTCGGAAAAAAAAAGGAAAAAGAATTATTTTTGTCGAAGTCGGGATCCGATCTCTTGCGTTCAGATGTTGATGTGACTAAAATCAGCGCCTTAGACCGCTCGGCCATGCCACTCTGATGCTAGCATATGAAGTTTTCTGTGATGTATACATTGCCCCTCTCTCTTGTGTATTGAAATGGATTCAAAATAGCGACTTCGCGTGCTAGATGCTTCGCGGCAGCTCCGTTAAACGGGCCCTTCTTTTACTTTTGCAATGCATCGGCACGAACTTATATCAAGATCTATCGGCAGATGTTGTTTTTGGAAGTTTATTTTCGTCTTCATGTCAACAATGCAAGATAAAATTGTTGGTAAGATGTGTAGAAATGTATAGTTATTGTACCGTTCGTAGGTCTAGTCCCATATGTGTAAATTCGTGCTGGTTTTGACTTTTTTTTTTTTTTTTTTTTTACTCTTTCGCCGCATAGGCCGCACCCCGACTTTTTGATATTTTCTCTTCCAAAAATACTGCGGCCTTTACGCTGGCAAATACGGTACGCCTTTGTGAAGTGCCTCGACACGAATGATCTCATTCACCTTTTTAATTTATGAATGCTAGTATGCAGTTGTGAGTCGGTCAAAGGAGGTGCACACCATCTTATTCTTTGTTTGATTGATAATTTGTTTGATCTTATGTTTGACCTTATGTTTGATCTCATTTTTATTTTTGTTATTATATATGCATGATTTATTGAATAAAGAACATATTTATATTTTTTGTGTTTATTACAAGTTTTAGTTGGTAATTTTAATTCAGACAATAGTGCGCTTAGAAACACCTGTATTAAGCGCCTAATAAATGTTAAATATTATTATTATTATTATTACAAATAAATGTATCTCAAAAGTCAGAATTCAAATTGCATGCATTACTTGTTGCTAGGAAGGGTGTAAACATTATGGCTTTAATTACCTAACAACACGTTATATATGCAGTTGCATTCTGACTACAAGTATTTGTTTGTAAACGGGTGAATGAAATAATTTGTATCGAGGCACTGAAGTGTGAATTCGGTTAGATTATGGAATGGCCTATTATCATTTGTAGGGCGCGGTCAGACCCACCTTGTAATGCCTCTGTTAGTAGCCATGATGAGGACCGGGGCCATGTCATCTTCTAGAGCTCGGTTCAAGAATGAGAAGCTTTCAATGTCCAGCATGTGAACCTCATCAATGAATAGAACCTGAAGATAAAGAGGATATGTGTTAGACACAAATGCTTTCAAAGTCAATGTGTTGGAATTGCAAATGAAGGAGGCATAATGGCGTAGTGGCGGAGCAGAAGTCTTGGGTTCGAAACAAGTCAAAGGGCTAGTGTCCTTTGGTAAGGCATTCATCCTCATAACCAAGTCTCAAAGAGAGGACTTAAAGCCGTCAGTCGCCTGGTTGCTTACTTACAAGCACATGCTTTCTTAGCAGTCAGGTAAACAAACAAACAACAAACATAAAACAAATATGCTCTAAAAGAAAATTCTGAACTGGGGAGGTGTCAGGGCTTGAAAATTGGCATCCCTGAATTTTTCAGTATGAAAAGAGCGTTTAAATGGAAACAAGAAAAGTGATCTTTACATGCAGGTGGTCCTATTCTTCCTTTACATGACTTTATGCCCTTTTCCATGACTAGATAAGTACTATTTTGGTATGGGTTGCAGCATCCAAGCAGCGTACCAACACCACCCCCATTGTCAGTTCAAACTGGAATGCTGCCATGGCCACACACGGCCCACACCTACGATCAATTTCAATGACTTTCCATTACTTTGGGAATTTTCCTTCAATTTCCATGACTCTCCAAAGAATTCATTTTTCCATGACCTTGGGAACCCAGATTCTTACATGAGACAACAAGTATTGTCTTTCTATAAATCTGGTTGCATCTAATCAGATTTAACTCTGCATTATTCTTTCCAAGCTAACTGGTGACAAACTATTATATTTGACAGCGAGTAGGTTTGTCTTGCAATCCTTTTTGCTATTTATGTTGAGCGTTGGCCAATCATAGGCCGACCTTTACATTGAGAGACCAGTATCACAATTTATGCAAATTGCATGCTTATCTTCACAAGATGACCCCTCCCCAATGTGAAAAGGCAAGACAGTACAGCAAGTTTTTAGGGGGGCTAGTCTCCTGCCCTCACAGTGTGGACAAAATACATTTAAAAAAGCTACAAATAATTTCCCTTTTCTATCAATTTCAACAACAAATCCTGGAAGATATATATTTAGAGGAATTCCCTCCTGGACCGATGTCGGCCTTCTTTTAAAAAACGAACCCCAAACCAAAACGAAATAGCAAGATGTAACAACTTCTTGTCTGCTTTGTTTTTGTCTTCTATATTTTATTCTTTGCCATGTGGTCTTACCCCCTCAAAGCATAGAGTCAACGCTAATGCATATTGACCTCTAGCGCTGTAATACGTGCAGAGAGGCATTGTATTTTACTGGTATTTAGGTGTCATCAATTGTCACTACAGTAAGTGAACTCGGTCGAGTTTTGTACAATGGTGTTTGAAATGTTGAGAATCAATAGAGGTCGACTAAACAGTTTTTAATACACAAAAAGTATACTAATGCTGGGGGGCGTTTCACAAAGATCCTAAGTCAAACTTAACTCTAAGTTGGACTTAAACATTATGGAGAGCCATTTGTAGCCATTAAATAAAAAATATTTAAAAGCGAAAATTTAAGTATTTTGACCTTTTTATAAATTCCACATCAAGAACATGAATTCTCCATGATAATAGAAAATATCAGTGATTAGAATAAACATTTCATGCTTTTTTAAATAAATTTTACAAAATATTTTCATAGATGCTAACGGCTTTCCATAATGGTTGAGTCCAACTTTGAGATAAGTTCAACTTAGGATCTTTGTGAAACACCCCCTGCTATGTGTGGTCTTTCTTACCCCTGGTACAATGTCTGCCTTTCCTTCCTCCCTCCACTCAGCCACCTTGGCGTTGATCTGCTCTCGCACCTCCGGCTTGATCTCACCGGTGTCTCCTGCAACCAAACATCAGAACATACTGGCAATAATAATAATAGCTCACATTTATAATGCCCCTAATACTTTGTTTCTAGGCGCAGCTCATATTGTTACCCCGGTCATCGGATTCAGGCTTGCCCGCAACACAATGAATGCATATTTTCCACTCCCTGGGGAGCATTCCAGCCAGTCGCCATTTTACAAGTGCCACTTGCTCATCCAACCACATTAACTTTTGCATCCTACCGGGTACCCATTCAACACCTGGGTGGAGAGTGGCAACTGTAGATCAATGTCTTGCCAAAGGACATTAGTGCCGCGGCGGGACTTGAACCGCGGACCTTGTTATTCATAGTCCGGTGACATATCCACTCGACCACGACACCTTTAAAATCGACAATCAAAAGATAAATGTAGCACTGGACTGAATCTTTATCTTCCACGTGGTTCTCATATGATCTGAGACTTATCCACCTCTGGACATAGTGCTAAATAGTTGTAAGTAAAATAAGGAAAGGGCCTTCATGTAATAGAATATCACTTCAGCCGCCTATCTGAGCCTAGGTGTAGCATAATAATAATAATAATAATATTCTGCTTTTATATAGCTCCCAATACATTGATACAATGAATTGTCTAAGCATTTTCCAGATATATTAGTACCCCGGTCATCGTATTCAGGCTTACCGTACAGGTTGTCATATAACTCCATCAATAAAATGAAATGGGCTGTACACTCGGCCCATATCAGGGCAGAGCTTTGGAGTCTTGTACAGTTAAAGGCTAAGTGTGAACAGACCCTTGTTAGCCTGATGTGAACGTACCTGAGAAGAGAGCAAGGAACCCCTGTGTACGGCTATTGATAACGTCTATCTCATGTAACGTCACCGTGTGGACGACTTCTTTCCTCTTCTGAAGCTCACCTTCGGGGCACTGAACAAACTTAGTCTGAAAGGAGACATATCAAGACACACACATCAAGGTTTGCGTTAAAGCCCGTCTGTACTAGTTTGGCCAGGAGGGATTAGACCACCCTGCATGGTCATTGACAGGTGGTTATCTCATCAACTTAGCTCTCAATTACCATAAGAAAAAGAGGATCATGGGGGTCCAACGGGCACCGCTTAGGCATTGTTTTCTATATAGAGGGTGCAAGTAAGTAGCTACAAGTAGTAGAGTGGGGCTTTAATATATCTGTATTTGCACTGTTTTGAGTGTCAATATTTGGCAGCCTAAAAAACAAATGGTGAGAATTTAATTGAAGAATACAAGAAGTAGTAAAAAGGTGTATTTTGGTGATGTCCTCAAACATCAAAATAAGCGCTGATTAGAGAAAAAAGGAATATTCTTCAGTTTCGTATTTAAATGGCATGCCAATCCCCCCATATAATGTCCGCATCCTACCGGGCACCCATTTAAAACCTGGGTGGAGAGTGCCAAATGTTGATTAATGTCTTGCCGAAAGTGGGACTCGAAACCGCTTACCATGTGATCCACGGTTTGGTGACTTATCCACTACACGACAACACCTCTACATATCCAGTCTTTGTCCCACTGGGTTTTAAAGTTTTGTATAAATGATCTATATCTGCTTGAGGTTCTTACCTGTGGTCCCATAGCATCGTAGTCCCTGGCTCTTGTGAATGACCTTCCAAGCTTATTGATCTTGCCTGTAGCCTTGTCTATCGTGATGATGTCACTGAATGGAAAAAAATGATTACATATATAAACAGGTCTCAACATTTTTGTTTTGGGGGTACAAAATCTGAAGGGAACTTTCAAGAAAGAGCTCCAGTGTGTATGCACATGAAATACATAAATGTACAGAATTGCTGTTTTGAATATGAAATATTTATGTATTATGTAAGAAACAAGCAACAAATATGTGAACACAAATCTTATTTTAATTGATGAATTGGTCCATGACACAGTCACAATAAACTGGAAACAAATTCCTCAGCTCTTCTAATTCTGACTTATCAATATTCACCAGTCCGCCATTACAACATAGGGCTAGCTTTGAATGTTCTGGGAGTGCTTCCTGGGAGTAATTCAAGTTTATAAAGAAATTGTGGCTTGCATCCAGTAAATAGAGATCATGTGCTTGTTCATGTAACTCAAAACAAGTCAGAAAAAGTCTTGAAATTTGAAGCCGCAATCAACTGCTTGCTGGGCAGCGACTCTAACCCCAGGCCATCACTGGTCCATGGCACAGTCACAATGAACTGGAAACAAATTCCTCAGCTCTTCTTATTCTGAAGTATCAATATTCACCAGTTCACCATTACAACATAGGGCTAGCTTTGAATGCTGGGTTCTCTGGGAGTAATTTCAATTTGTGAAAGACTTTTGGCTTGCACCCATTAAATAAAGATCAGATGCTCATTCTTGAAATTCATAAAGAAATGTTTCTCACCCTGCTTGGACCTTCTCCTTTGTGAGAGATTCAATCATCTTTGTTCCGAGGTCATAAACCGTTTCCATCTCGGTCGTCTTTAGAGTCAGCTTCCCAACCTTGGCACCCTATGAGCAGTAAACACACAATAATGGAATCATCTCATGTACGCGGTATTGGCGAGCCAAAGATTTCATCAATTTTAGTCACTGAATAGTTAAATATACACGATTATAAATGGAAATTGAATTTGTTTTGTTTGTTTGCTTTGTTTTTATCAAAGGGGAGAATCAAGTAAAAGGTATTTGAATTCATCATACATCATGTAATGATAATAATGTTGATTTACATAGCGCTTAATAATAATATTAAATACTGTCCCTAAGCGCTACAGATGTTATTACACTGGTCATTGGATTCACCATCTCCACTCCCTGGGGAGTATTCCTACCATATGATCACCATGAGGGCATATGGCAGTTACTATAAAAACAAAGGCTTTCGTCATCCTACCAGGTTCCCATTTCTCTCCTGGGTATGGAGTGGCAAATGTAGATTAATGCCTTGCCAAAGGACAGTAGTGCAGTGTTGGGGATCGAACTCACAACCTTTGAATTTCAAGTCAAGTGCTTAAACCACTCGATAACGACACCTCTACGTATCTAACATACTGCTTAAATTCAAGCTCTTAATTTCATGTATTTCGCAGCTTCCGACATCTTATCACATAGAGGAATCCAAATCATTGTTATAAAATAGGGGCTTTGCCTCAGACGAGAAATGAACACCAAGATATATCAATGCCCAAACAAACACGGGGGATGTCCCCAAATATATGTAACACTTCATATTTCCATATCTGAACGAGCCTTAAAGAGGTAGGTTTACTTACTGTTCCAGTCGCTGGCCTATCGATTTGGATCTCCACCACTTCTCCTTCAATGATTTCAGTCTCCTCTCTAGAAAGAGATCATCAAAAAGAAATTGAGAACATCTAACTATCTAAAAATCAAGAATATTAGATTTACATCATTTTTCTACATGAAACCCAGAAAATAATGGTAATGTGTTTCCGGAAAGACCAGACTGCACAAGAAAATAAACATAATTCTACCAGTCTGTCTCTACAGAAGTTTAGAAGTGGACTTCCACAGGTATAGAAGATGTCTGGGAAGTGGGAAATGCATGCAGTAATGCATTGTGTAACATCACCTATTGAACGCTAAACTACAGGGCCCCATTTCACAAAAATTGTGATCACCAAGGAATAGACCCCTTTCAGAAAAGCCCGAGATTCACAACGGATACGAATAGAGACTGTTGGACCTACTTGATTCTGATTCCGATAGATCTTCTGAAAGCTTGAGTGAGAGCCTCTGTCTTACTCATCTCTAGCGAGAAGATCTCACTGCCAGCTATAGCTGTGAAGGGTGTGTCTTGACCAAGGGCTTGAGCCATACCTGCGACAGTCAGTGGAAAATATAGACATACATTTAACAACCAAATTATTTATAACGTTACCGTGTTTTGTAAATTGAAAAGAGAACAAAATGTTGTCGCCGGAATGTTTGTCCTACAAACATACACATCCTTATATTCAACCCTAAAAGCAAAAGATGACCGCGGTTATAATATATATCTGTAACGCGCTTTGAGAGAGCGCTTTGAGAAAACACCTATATAACAAATTATCATTATTATTATCAAAAGCTTTCATGACTTTATCACCTTCAGTCTTACACATCTCTTCATACTAAAGTTATACAATTTTGATCAACAGGTACAGCGCAGCATCAAAAATCGCTGCTCAATACAGAACTGTCCATTCACAGATATGACTTTTAGTCAATAAGCAATAATTCATGAACTATCAGAGAAACATATAGATATGAAACTTCATGGGATTATTCTTGACGATATTATCTATCTCATGTCAAGTTTCAGAATTGTTGTCACTCAATCTGCGAGATCGCAGGAGGCCTGAAAGAAGTAATGCTCATAATGAGCTCGAGACTAACTCACCCATAGCTATAGCAGTCTTGCCAGTACCTGGCTGGCCTGCAATAAGGACTGCTCTCCCTGCTATTTTACCTTCCTGTAACAAAAAATAAATAAACAAGAAAAAGGGAAAACATAATTGAAAGTAAGCCTCGACTTTTTGTGCTATGGTTTCAGAATGTACATGTAGCTAGCAATGAACACAAGGAGTCTCTTCGTTGGAAGAGTTGTCTGAATTTGAATGACCGTCGTCAAGAGTTGTCTAATACCTCATCGCTTACTGGACAACTCCTGCAACTCTCCTGGCTGCCATCTGGCCAACCATCCTGGCCAACCATCCTATTTCATAGATTTCCAGAGCAGTTTATGAGCAAAAGTAATCTTATTTCTTTCTTTTTTCCTCCTCCTCCTCCTCCTAAGAGACATTCCTTGCTTCAAATGCATCACAAAGCCCTACCTTAATACTTAATCTTAGTGCTTACAAGAGCTACAGTACTCTAACTTGCAGTTTTTTTCTTCAACTTGCTTTCTTGCTTGCCAAATTATCTCACCTTGATCACCTCCAGGATGACTCCTGCAGCTCTCCTAGCTGCCGTTTGTCTGACCATCCCCCGAGAGACATTCTTTGCTTCAAAAACATTACAAAGCCCTACCTTAGAGTTAGAGGTATCCAGACCTTATCTTTGTGTTCACTAGTACTCAAACTTACAAATTCTTTTTGAACTTTCTTGCCAAAATATCTAACCTTGATCATCTCCAGCATGACTCCTGCAGCTCTCCTGGCTGCCGTTTGTCCCACCACCATCCCAGAAACATTCCTTGCTTCAAATGCACAACAAAGCCCTACCTCAATACTCTATCTTAGTGCTTACAAGAGCTACACTACTCAAACTTCTAGTTTCTTTTTCAACTTGCTTTCTTGCTTGCCTAATGATCTCACCTTGATCATCTCCAGGATGACTCCTGCAGCTCTCCTGGCTGCCATTTGTCCGACCATCCCCTGAGAGACATTCTTTGCTTCAAATGCATCACAAACCCCTACCTTAATACTTTATCTTAGTGCTTACAAGAGCTACATCACTCAAACTTGCAGTTTTTTCTTCAACTTTCTTTCTTGCTTGCCTAAGGATCTCACCTTGATCATCTCCAGGATGACTCCTGCAGCTCTCCTGGCTGCAGTTTGTCCAACCATCCCCTGAGAGACATTCCTTGCTTCCAGGGCATCATCTAGACCAAGACCTCTGATGTGGGAATGAGCTCCTATCCGCTCGATCCTCGTCACTTCACGAACCTCCTGGACCTTCTGTGCTGTTGACTGTAAACCAGGAGAAAAGTATTGTTATATTTTTGCTACTATTTACCCAAATGTTTGATGGTAAACTTGGTGTTTTACTACTTTTTAGCAAAAATTATTTGTTTGATTTTCACTTTTCTTTTCACAAGGGCATAGCAGCCTCATGTCATTAGTAAAGGTGCATGACTTATATAGGAGGTTGAACTACCTCTATGGTCAGATACTTTTGTCAAGATTTTTGGTTGCCAATTTGAGAGTCTCCCATTTAGTTTGCCAATTTTCTTTGTTAACATAAATTTGATGCAAAGCGATCACCTCAGTTAAACATGAAAATATTGAAAGTAGATGTCTCATGTTAAATTTCCCTTTTTGACTGTCTACTTATTTTGTTTTCACAACAGTTTTTTTTGTAATGACCCACTCACAAATCCAATGGGCTCCTGACCTCAGTGAGGCAACACTTTCCTGGGAAAAACAGCCTTGTTGTTGGTGTAGTTTCTTTTGCCCCTTTATGGAAGACAGTCTCCTAATTAGTCGCTAACTGAACACATGCGCGTGCCGCACCCGACCAGCGGGGTTGTATGTAATTGTATTGGGCTTCAGTTTGCTGTGAATCCTGTGAGAAAGTGCATATCATTTTATAACTCTTTGTTTTCAGGAAAAATACTCCAAAAAAGATAAGAAAATTGACAGGAAACAGGTAACAAACAGATCGACTTTTAAATCATGGCCTTTATTTGCACATTTGATGAATATTTACTTCATTTTGGGTATTTTTTTAGTACGGTATCTCGGATCTCCACACCAGAATTACGGGTCAAATTTTGGATAGACTTCTGAACTAGCACCAGTTATTTATCAGTTGCAAATTTTGCAACTTGCAATCCTGAATAGAAAATGCTAGAGTCATAATATCGGCTAGCCATTATTCAATACCCTGATTTTTTTCTTAAAATCAACGCCATGCCCATGGGCAGAGCTAATGTCCGGCCATGGTCCCACTCGCAGTCACAAGTCGCAGTACTTGAGGCCGAGTGTGGATACCACACCGTGCACTATCGCCTCGCCAGCTACCGCTGATCCAGCGGGCTGGTTACGCGTCGGCGATACGGTTGTCAAGGCTCACGCACAACATTTAAAAAAAGTAACTTCGATCGATAAGTCTACGGTAAAGTACGAGGATACAGTTCATTTTCACAAATCATTTGTCACCGATCATATCTCTGTCTAGATTTAAGATAGAAATACATCAATGAATGAATCAAATAATGTCATTAAGTTTTATTATCAATTTTAACATTACAATCACAAAAACCACGCGAACTTACCGCTGCCATCTTGATCTGTGATCTGCCCGTAGATGGCGCGCGACGCCAATAAATTGGCTCAAAGCTGAAATGTCCAAAAGGGTCGTCCCCTGAAATTTAGAAACTCGCCGAAAATTGTTTAAAACACTACTATTCATGGGTGTCGATCTGTAATTGATACCTATTGTTCAGGGGGGATGATCTATTCATTCATCTCCCCTGAACAATAGGTATTACGCAAGAATCGACACCCATGCTACTATTTATAAGCACGTAGGACCACGGTATGCAATTGTATTATTATTGTAATACATGACGTTATTAGATTGATGGGGCGTTTTGGATACTCAATACGCTTGTCTCTTCCCCCCCCCCCCCTCTCTCTCTCTCTCTCTCTCTCTCTCTCTCTCTCTCTCTCTCTCTCTCTCTCTCTCTCTCTCTCTCTCCCTCCCTCTTTGACACTTCTCCCAATGTAAGTGCTGATTCAAGGTGATGCAGATTCTCATTGCCCTCTCGTAGACGTAATTTTAGTAATTGAAAAAAATGTAGGTCTTTTTTATATTCTCGGTCATTTAGAGAGCGAGTCAAAGAAGTAACGGAGGACACAGATAATTGAAGAATAACAAATTATAACATGTGGACAGTTTTGGACTCCTGATACCCATCTGACATTTAATCAATTATTTCATGGGGATGACTGAGCACAAGTTAAAAGAAAATATAAACGGATACAATGTTTTACAAGGTTATGGAACCTGTTTCTCAAGAAAACTGTAATACAGTAAAACTGGTAAATTTGTTTAAAACTTTGCGGTTCATAAATTATGAGGGGTTGCCCGCAGATGGGGGGGGGGCGGTGTGGGGGGTGGCTACTTTGCATATAATTATGTTGTGTTTAGAAAGGACATGTAGTTTGGCCTGATGACCGCAGTTTGTCAGTGTTATGTAACGATCGAGGACAAAGTATTTATTAAAAAGTACATTAATTATTATTCTTAATGCATGCCCGAACGAGATATTTAAAAAGTCAAAAACTAGCATGGTGGAGAAATTTTTAAAGGAACGTTTTTTTTATGCCAGACTAAAAAAAGGGGGAGGAGGGCACTACCACCAACAGCACCACCACAATAAATTATCAATAATTCATTGAATTCCCCCCCCCCCCCCCCGTGTCTTTGTGAAATTGTAGTAAAGACACATAACGGCTGATTATTGAGAGAAGGAGGGGGAGAGAGGGAGATCGAGATCGAGAGAGAGAGAGAGAGAGAGAGAGATAAGGAAGAGTTAAATGGTTGGAGGAGAGAGAAAGAGAGGGAGACAGAGAGAGAGAGAGAGAGAGAGTGTGTGTGTGTGTTTGTGAAGAGAACGAAAGAAAAAGAGAGATGGAGAGAAGGAGGGGAGCGAGATATATATGAAGGAAACGATAAATGGTTGGGGAGAGCTGAGAGAAAAAAGAAAGAAAATAGACAAGCAGTGAGAGAGAGAGATGTAAAGAAAGAGATTATATGAAATGAGGGAGAGAGAGAGAGAGGAAAAAAAGTGACATACGATGATATATATACCTACACAGAAGGTTTATTTTTGCCTTTCAATCGAAAGTTTTCTTTTCTCTTTATTTCTACACTTCATTGATTCTCAAAATAACATTTACGATGTTAGAGCGGAGTTTATTAGTTTAGTAATTAACGCCCCTCAGTACGCCCCTGCAGCAGAGCGAGTCCATAACTGTTTGTTTTTCTTCTTAAAGATGGGTTTATGACAGATTGATATATTATGATCTAATTTCACACAGCGGGTGGTTTATTTGATGTTCTGAGCAGTCATTTCCGAAGAGCATTTGTAAATTAATTTTAAGAAATGCAGGGGGTGAAGGAAAGCACCCATCCACAACAACTCAAACACGATAAATACTGGAGAAAGGACATGGATTAACACAACGCTGATTCGACAGACAGTCTAACGTTACAGTTGTGATATCCACTCTCGGTAAGTGAAAAAAAATGTTTTGTTTTCATCGAAGAAATTCAACGAAAGGATAATAAATTATATATTTGTGTATTTGTATAATTATATAAACTCGCTATATAGATTTGTTTATTTACTTTTTATATAGACCTATGCAGTTTTTCCTTGTTCCTTTTTGTTTACTCATTCAATTTCTATTTAGATAATTGAATTAATCAATCATTTTTGTATATTTATTAATATTAGTTTATTCATTTATTTATGAATTTTTGAAATACCTAATCATTTATTCATTTTATATCTAGTATGTGTGTGTGTGTGGGGGGGGGGGGGTATACATGGGCTTTGAAGATGTGTAAGCAAACCTGGCTTGATATTGCATAGTTTTATGGACCCTTTTTTAAAATGAATGTGGTAGTGAAGTTTGCTTGTTTGGACCCTAAAATTAGGTAACAACAGAATATTGAACTTGGAAAAACATTTATCATGAAAAAAAGGAAAAGAGTATAAGCCTACCTATAACAAGAAATATGTTCGTGTATTTCAAGCTATACTTTCTTACTGCAGACGATGGGCAAGCCTCTCATATTCGAGTCCTATTAGGTATCATTAGTCATATTTTCTTTCAGACTCACTAAACGAATTCAAAGATGTCTAAGGCTATGTACCTTGCTCTTGCCGCGGTCCTCATCGTAGCCGCCTTCTCCTTCGAGATGGAAGACGAAGACGACAACGATGTCGCCATGATGAAGAGGATGCCCGAGCTACATGAATACTTGTGGGCCGAGAAAAGGGGGAAGAACATGAAGAAGTACAAGTGTAAGTATTCACTTCAGTCTTTATTAATTCTATAGGTTAAAAAACACCACGGAAACATTGAAAGGTACTCTCCTATAAAAGAAAACAGTGCATTTAATTAGTGATCCCTTGTTTAGGAGTGAACATTCATGTATTTTAAAGTGCTCTGTGAAAGAAAAAGAATGTAAAATTTTAACCCATTGCTTACTGGAACCTGGTGGTCCCTGTGTTAAGCCTATGGGAATTAGATAAATCAGTAGCCAACGGGTTAACTCTACTTTCACTATCGTAGGAGTCACTTCGGTGATCACACTATTTTTATTTTGGGTGTGCAAAGCATTTCAAGGGTAAAATACAAGGTACACTAAATAATTTCTTACAAAATAAGAAGAACAAGAGGGACCATCTTGAGGCTTGACATGTTGATAGTCCCAATAATTGGCAAGTTATAACATAGATACTGTGGCAGAAGAAAAGAAAATAGGCAAAATAAAGGTGTTTTTGTATTAATTTAGTCGTTAAAAACAACTGATAAATGATGACAAACTAATGATAAAAAGATAACAGGTAAGATTTACGCTTTCTTTTAAATGGATTGAGGAATGGGAATTTTAATTCAACGTAAAGGAAAATTGATAGCAAATTCAACCTTCTCTGAAGTTCATTTACTCGGAACATGCTAATACCTTTTAAACCTTTTGAATTGCCGAAAACATTTACGCATAACCTAATGTGTAATTATAGCACTTAAATGTCTTTCGCACTGTTTCACTTTGTACTTTAAATCAAATGAAATTATAACTGAGGGGAAAAAAAAAAAAAAATCATTTCATGTTATTGCCTGCGAGCAATGAAACGTGGAAGTTGTTATATAGAACAAGTTTTGTGAAAGGGGGGGGGGGGCCTATAAATCTCGTAGGACGTGTGGGGGGGGGGGGGGGAGGAACACATACACACAAAAAAAGATTAATTGTTTCTGGTTTCGTTGTTTTGACAGCCTGTGTGAGTTTCGGACAAGAGTGCACATGCAACAGAAGAAATGGCCAAGTGATATACTGCTCTGGTGAGTTGAAGTTGCGTTCTGGGGCCCGTTTCACAAAGCCTTTTTTCAATGACAAATGACAAAAATCAGTGACAAATCTGCTGATAACCAATCAGAAGCGAGGATTTCAGTAGCTTATAACAGAATCTGTCATTTGTCACTGCATGATGACAAGTTTTGTGAAACGCCTCCCCCCCCCCCCCCCCTGGTCGTTTCCTCTTGTACAAACAGCTCTAGGTTTGTGAGCGGGCACGCACGTCGCTAGGGCGTACCATTAGAGAAAAGTCAAGGCAATTGCAATGTGAAAGAAACTTTGTTGAAGCGATTGAAAAATTTGATCATATTAAGTATGCTTCCAAATCACCCCCCCCCCCCCCCTTTGTAAAAGTTTTTAATAGTTCACCTTCAATCTTTAGCCCTTTTGTTTGTGTTCGTACATTCATGAATTTATTTGGGCATCATTAACCATCACTGTCACAAAAAAAATCTATAAATGTCTCCACTTTACTTTGGCGGCATTAGGCCTTCAAATCGAGATTAAAAAAAAAGGGGGCAATTTTAATGCTATAGTGTTTGCCGTAACTTTGACTCGGTCTCTTTTAATATATTTCTTGTTTAAGTTAACTAATGAAGCAGCGAGTTTCTGCTAATTAATAATTTTGCGTCAGTGTTTCTAATACAGTGTGGCTTTAAAGAACTACGATCTTGCTAAAAGATTTTTGAACCGTTAATATATTCGTTTTTCTTTCAAATTCTTACAGGTGCTGGCAATGGCGATAGTATTTAAATGACGGAAGACCCGGATGCCATACTGTTGCCCCGACCCATGTTTCGACTTCGACTCCAAGACCCCTGCAGGCAGTTGCTTAACTGCGTGTTCATGTGTTTGTCTTTTTATCATTGCGCAGTGAAAGAAAATAGAAATAAATACAGAATAAACTCCTGAATATCATATACAATTGTTTATGTGTGTTATGTGTTAGAGTGGCTCATGAGGTGTGACGCGTGATGAACTAGTAACGAAATATTTTGTGTTGAACCCACTCTTCAAAATGACCGGAATAGAAATATACCTTTTAAGCCTCGTTCAGAAATGCCGCAGTAAATCTCTTTGTGCCTTCTTTTTTGTTTCGTTTGATGATTCGTTCAGAAATGCATCGTTAATTATTTTCTCTTTCCCTTTTTGCGTTTGATGATGGTAAAATAATAACCAATACGCTTTTGATTTATGTATCTTGGAGCACAGAGCTACATGTAAGTTAATGCGAGTAGGTTGTTTGTTGCGCCTAGTTGCTTTTCATTTACACGTC